CTTTTTTTTTTTTTTTTTTTTTTTTATACCTGACAGGCAAATGACTCCACTCCACCTGATGTTAAGTGGAAAGTGGTATCCAAACGCGAAGGAACCTAGTGCAGCGATGGAATCTTCACTGCACTAGCCGCCTCCACCCTGCCTGCCTACAATATGCCTCTTCACGCCTCGTTTGAAGGACCCCATATCATAAGAGGGAGGGAAGACATGTGCCGGAAGGGAGTTCCATTTGTCAACCGTGCGGCAGAGAAAGGAGCCACCGAACCTTTTAGTACGCGATGGAATGCGGCAGGTAGTGAACCGGTGACTACGAAGGCCAGCACGCGTGCTTCTGAGCAGGAACGGGGAAGGGGGGATGAGGTTGAACAGCTCCTCAGAGCACTCACCATGGTGGCACTCACCTTCGATTGCTCAGGTTTCAATACAAGCACCTGCGTCAAAGAATAACTTTTTATTTATTAATTCATTCGTAATTAAAGCGTTATATATATGGTTTGTTTTTAAAACTATTCTTAAATTAGACTGCAGGTGCAGACAATAAGTTCTTTCGTCCAACGATAGAGCCCTACAATGTGACTCGCACAACGCCAATCGGGATCGCAGCATACCGATCCGCGTTAACTCTGGATTGGCTAGCAGCCGAAGACAACAGGCAACGGGAGCTGGTGTCAGCATTCGAATCTCAACCGATGTTATCGAATAAATTGATCAACGGCGATTGTATTCAGTATCCCCGACCTTCTGCTGGGACAATCGCCCGACTGATGTTGGAAATGCTCAAGTTGGTATAGTTAATTGACATTATATTTTTACCTCGCAGATATTATAGCATCTAACTGGTAAAAAAATAACAAAGGCAATAAATAGTACGGCTTTACAAACTTGACGTGAGGCCCCGTGTACATGTAAATGTACCTACATAATACGTGAACTGATTCAGACCACGAGAATATTAGTCATAGTATGTAATTGATTATAATGAAAATATCGCGTTCAAATTTAGCGCTTTATATTTTAAGTGATCATAGAAAAATATTGTTCATAAAAAACTAACATACATACTTGCTTGGGCCTGAAGCTCGTAATTACATTTGGTATATCTTTTCATTGTAGTTTGCTAGGTTTTAGGAGGCTTAATATTGCAAAGAAGAGCGGTACACTGATTGACCATTGTTTATTTGCGGGTCAATAAAGAATGATTTGTGGGTATTACAAGAAAGTTATATTTTTTGGGTAAGGAGCAATTAATTTTTCACCTCACTAGCTCGGAAACGCTTTATTTCTCATTACAAATCTGCGCGCAAAAGCGTGTTTTCCACGCTAGCGTGGAAAATTCGAACCAAACGATGGACCGATGGATGGATGGATGTGGTGCACTCAATATTTTCTTTCGATGAACATAATGACACGTTCAACTACGCGATTTGTCGTTTTATTTTTTCATTTTATTCTTATTATTGTTGACATTGACAACGATAACTAATTTTGTTATTATTTATTAAAACTGATTTGTTATAGTTCAACTGTTTTTCTTTCATCTACCATTATCCTTGCTATAGTGAGGTGAAAGGTTGTGTGTTTGTTTTGTGTCTCGTGTCTTGAAACCCTCGTTATGCTCTGGATTCTATTTTTGAACCACTCGGTACACTCGTAGTTCAATCTTCGTCTCCTTTTCTTACTCAGCCTCCTAACAAATAACTATTATTTTTCACTTGAAAACTACCGTGATGCTCAGATATATTTTATTAGCTGAACTAACAGATAACTCACCGTATTTAAATTGAATTTTTGCTCGACTTCTTCATGTATGAGGATTTTGTAGTGAGTGTAGTTTTTTAATGAAAACACCGCCGTGGAAGCTCAGGATTATCCTTAATGTGGTCCTCCACAGACTGGCTCGAAACTATGGAGCAAGAGCAAATAACTGTTTGTTTTTGGCTCCATCCCTTAAATTGTTTTTTCAACTCTTTTGAACAACAACTATCATATTATACAAAACTTTTATCGTTTATTTGTTCCCCAGAAATTTAGAAGGCGATTCAGACATTAGATCTATTATTCATGAGCTATTACAATCCCTAATACGAGCAAAGCTTTTAAAACTTGAATCATTAGTGTACGAAAATGAACCAGATCTGGATGCATTGATGAAAACACCAATAGAGCTTGCTGGGGAGCCTCACGTCACCCTCCCGAGGTTGATAGCTATCGCTTGGATGGCCATCACTGATCCCGCCACTGTTAAGAAACATGGATGGTGTACTATTAACCGAGTATGTCCTTAGCTTTCTTAAAAAAAAAATATTGGTATATTAAACTTCGTTAGATGAAAATTTGTCTATATGTGTAGTGGTCTTCATAGTGAGGACAGGACGCGTTTTTAACGAATCATCATCCGTTTATAGACTGAAAGGCTCAGGAGTGTAGGTCCTTGCTTAGGACGATCAAGTTATATAGATGTAACAAAAAGGCCCGGACATTTTCCAGCTGATGATTGTTTATAGGTAACAAGTAAGTAACAAAAACAAAAAAAAAAAATAAAGGTATAGATTCGATAGATTAGACAAGAAAGGTATGTAGAAAGTAGTTTAGAAAAAACTTCTTGGTTGAGAGCTGACAGAGATATGTTGGCCTCCGTGTATCGGGTGCGGGGATATTCGGTGCTCGAACATTGCATTGGGTTTCGGTACATCACTGTAGTGTGCAGTGTGTGCAGTTAGTTGTGTTCCCGCGTTACCATCGGAAAGTAACGGGGCGAAACACCGTCAGGTTTTAGTCGGTACGAGTCCGACAAGGGTATACATGAGGATGTCCTGATTATAATAACGCACACACTCAACATAGCCCCGCACTGGGGAAACGAACCGTGTGTCGCCTGTGCCATGGACACACACATAGACAACCACAAGTTACACCCAAACTCACGAGATAAATAATGTAGGCCATACAAATATTTCTCCCGGCCTGGTAATCGAACCTGGGACCTCTGCGTGGTGGCATGTCCGGATTTAACAAAAAGGTATTCAAGTCCCATAACAAAGTTATTTATTGTCATGGAGCTATAAGTCTGTTTTTCTTTTTTTTATGTTATTACCTTTTCTTTTATGTTTTTTGCCTTGGTTGAATAAACGATTTTCTGTTCTATTCTACAAAATTTGTACTTCAATTAAAACTGTTAGAAGAATTAAGGAACTAAAACGCTTCTGTCGGTTCTCAATCAACAAAGTTTTGTTCTGAGTATCGGAGTTCATAGATTTTCGCCATTGTTACATATAGGAAATTAAACTATTTTTTCAGATCTAAATCATAGTCACGGCTGACTATGGGACCTGTCATGTCAATTATGTTAGCCGTGATCATGGGACCAAGGGCCCGAAATATTTGGTTTCTTTAAAAAAACAAATATAAAACAATTTGTTTTATTTCCTTTTGTTCTGAGCGTTATTATTATATCTGCTTTTACGTATCAGAAATGATGTTGTTCCTAGAAGTGGTATAGAGGATGCAGGCAGATTTATTGGCATACTTATTATTATTGTGCTTCAGATATCCAAATACGTGAACTTCGCACGTCCATCGGATATTGCAAAACACATGCGTGCGGCGGAACCTATTATCTCACGCGCACGCTACATCATGGAGGAATTCATACATCATCTGACACCGTTAAATTTGATGAAAAGTTCATCTTCCAGTGTTGCTACGACAAGAAAGGTGCGCAATACTGCAGGCGATTCGACATTTTGTAGGTCAAATATTCTTTCTAAATATAGTGGTACAATTGTGTACCACAAAAAATAAGTACGCATTTGAACTCCATTTCACCTGATGGAAAGTTATGATGAGGTCGACGATATAGCATGTGCACCTAAATAATGCCTATTCACTCTCTCCTTGAAAAGGTCCAAGTTACAGCGTTCGAGGAATAAGTCTGCAGACAGAGAATTCCACTTTCTAGCCGCTCGCCATATAAATGTGGATTGTGGAAGCGCAACAACACAGAACGTGGATCACGTTCCACCTCGTAGAACGTGTTCCACGTGGTGGAACGTCAGCCTACGTCTAGTCCCCCGATGACGGAAAGGGGAAGGCGGAATCAAATAATGCAATTCCATCGCACACTCTCCGTGATATATTCTGTAGAATAGCGATAAGCAGGCAACTTTACGGCGGTGTTCAAGGCTCTGCAGCTTCGCTTCTACTAATTCCGAGTCACCTATAAATCATGCCACGCTTGTCGATTGAATCCAAGGTGGCCAGTTGGTATTTAGCAGAGCTATCCCATAAGTGGCAGCACTTGGTGGCAACACTTGGTGTTGTACCAATTGCTGCCAACTGCTATTCGCACGGTCGCTTAATATGCGTTATTTCCTTATGTTCCGTGGCATACAAACCACTCTAAGTTGTTACAGGTAACTTTTCGTTTGAGTGAGAAGAGTGCTGGTGAAATTACAAGCACGTGGGACTTGTCAACGTATGCCAGGGCGACCAATGTGTCCAATGTGGGTGCAATAGCAGTGCCCCTCAGATCTTTGCGTTTAAATCTCTGAGTGAGGCAGTGCAACTGCTACAGACAGGCGTGTCACTTACTACCAGGCGCACGACATGTTCATCGTTCATCCCGTTACTTAGCATATATAATAAAAAAATATTTTTATTATTGTAGTTACATGATGTTTTAGTATGCATGTGTGTCAGGACCGTAGCTAGTGGAAGACTGTTGTCTCTGCTTATCCCAATGGGAGAAAGGCGTGAAGTATACATGTATGTATGTATAACATGGTTTTAGGAAGTTGAAATTATAAAAGCGCGAGATTCTTAAGTCGAAGACAATATTTTGAAGGAATTGGGTATGTCATATCTTGAAACGTATCATAGTTTCACCCGTAATAATATGTCTTTACAGTTCAGGGCTATCATTGGCAGACCTCGGAGTAAATATGCGCCTACAGTCAAGACTACCATAAGCAGAACCCGGAATGAATATACACCTATCGCCAAGACAAGACCCACAAGAGGTCTACGTTTAACGGTTGGTCTGGTTTTCTAGGTTATAAAGCCGTTGGTATCGTTTTTACGCCATCTATACGACGTAGTCGAGAGGGCAGGAAGTTCGTAACTTGTATTGGTACTTTGTAAAGGAGATCAGTGTCTAATGGGATGGATTAGACTGTGTGGCCACACAAGACATTATGAGGGTTATTAATCTTTCAAACTCCAGACAAAATTCGGTTACACTTTCATGGCTTTGATAAACGTTTTTAGCTTTCATGACCGCTTTCATAGCTTTTTGATATGTGGAGGCGTAAGAAAACTAACTTAAGGCGTGTCACAGGAGAAGAAGCGCGAAAAACTGTTTTGCTAGATCAAATGGTTTAAGTATTTACTATTATATAACGGTGTTACAAAAAATACGCGATACACCTAAAGATACAGTCTAAAGAATGTGCTGTGTTACAGGAACCTGTACTTCATCCGATCATATAAAATCCGGAAAACAAGCTAGAATAAAAGTCGAAAATGAATTATTTAAGAATAAAATATATAATTTTGTACATAATATATAATTTTTATATATAGATATTTATCTTTAAGTACTATAGGGAACTTGCTAAATTTTGGTTTTCAACTGAAGCCCTATCAGTTATTAAATTCTCATTTATCCCAAAATTTGCAAACTGCCCAGCGGTTTAACGACACGCCGCGTCGCCCGTAGCCCCGTCAGTCGGCATCGGGCGCTTGTCAACGTTGGATTTGTGTAAAATTTTCTACGCCTGTTCCTATTTTATTCATTTTGAATTACAGTACGCGATACCTCACTTTCTAAAATCTAAGCTCGCATTGAAATGGCTCGTCTTAAAACAAAGAGTCAAGAGAGTAAAGTCCCATATAAAAATGTTATGTCATCATCATCAACAGCCTATCGTAGTCCACTGCTATCGTAGTTTTCGCCCGGTCCGCAGCTCGTTGCATCCATCTGCTGCTAGCAGCCCTTCGCAAATCGTCACTCCATCTGGCCATAGGGCATCCTACACTACGTTTGCCCAGCCGTGGTCTCAAGAACTTGCTTCCCCCATCGGTTATCGGTTCTTTGACAGATATGGCCAGCTCACTGCCACTTCAGCTTGCTTATTTTACCAGCCATGTCGACGACCTTAGTACTTTGTCGGATAACCTCGTTCCGTACCTTGTCCTTCAAAGAAACTCCGAGCATTGCTCGTTCTATATCTCGCTGAGCGATTTTCAACTGGTGAACTGGTGAAGAGTATAAAAATTTTATGTAGAAATCTTTAATCAAAATTAAATATAGTTAAATTACGGCACAATGTTAACATTCTTTGTATGTAAGAGAATTAAGTTAAAAATGCACTCAGAAATGAATTTAACAGTTCATGTCTTATTCAAAAAGACAGATTGTATCGGAATACATTAATGGCACGGATGCCATTATCTACTAGTGTGTTAAAGTAATTCTAGACAAAATAATGATCTTTGGTTGGAAAAAATTGGGATGAACAAATGCCGAAATCTATGATTTAACTGTTCCGTCGCCGAACGGTTACCATTCTGATCTGCCACGCAAAGGTTTTGATTCCACGGGCCGGGAGAAATATTTGTATGGCCTAAATTTATTTATCTCGTGAGTTTGAGTGTAATTTGTGGTTGACTATCTGTGTCTCCATGGCACCATGACACTGGGTTTCCCTATTTTCATGATTTTAATTTGACAGCAATGTACGCTTACGTTAAAACATTTCTTAATTGTTTTGTAAAATTTCAGTCAGTACTACAGCAACTGGTGCTGAGCAATGTGACGCCAAGTGCATTAAACCTGGTGCGCCTGAAGACCACTGTCACAAATGAACTAATGGACTATGATGTGATGTATGGAGGTGACGATGTCAGTGTCAAGTTCAAGATAATATATTTATTGTTACCTGTTTTGCTTGTTTGGCAGTAAAAATTTACATCTTGAGAATTGTTTTTATTTCTTCACTCAGCCAGGTACTTTTACAGTTGAGTATTTAATATTATAAAATTTTTAAGTCTATTGAATGTCACAATGTGGGACCACCATGATATTCAATATTTTTGTGAAATTATTCCACTAGTTTGTTATAATATTAATACATAGATCGAACACTCAGAAAAAAATCCCTCGATGCGGCTGAACTCGCACCAATGTTCCAGCAAACCGTGACAGGCGCTATGCCAACTAAGCCACGGAATGAACCTTATGAATTTTTCTAAGTGCTTGTTGCAGATCTTTGTTTTCGGCGACTTTTTTGCCGTAGCGCCATCTGTAAGAAATCTATCTCTTCACTCAGCCAATTTTTTTTTCTTTTTACAATTAGGAATATCATCTTCATCTTGCTTTAAAACTTCCGTAACACACGTAAGCGTCTATCGTGTTCTGCGTTTTCTACTTAAAAAACTCAGCATTTATTTATTTATTTATTCATCATCATAGGTAGATAGAGAACATTGGCACAGTTTTGGTGCTACATGATTTTTCTATGATGCACCATTTGAAATACCAATATTACAAACATAATTACCGATATCGACGTATGAAATAAAGACAAATGTTTAAAATGTTACATATGCATAATATTGTTAGTATTGGACATTACGAGTCTCAAGTGATTTTATGCGGTCCGGAATTTTATTACATAATATGACCGATGCAAGTTTAACAACACTCTTTCTAAGTAGAGCTGTTTTACAGAACTTTGTGCTCAATACATGTGGCCTAGGACGTAAAATACGATTTTGCACCGTGGGTCAATTTGTGAAGAATATGAGAAATGTGGAGATTTCGTGTATATGCATGCCATGAAGTGCGGAAGCCCAAAATGCACGGTGAAAATGGCAAACGTAAGGTGAAAGGCGCAAGTGCAAAATGCAAGGCGAAAGGAGCAAATGGAAAATGTAACACAAAAGGCGCTAGTGTAAAATAAGATCAAAGACACAATGAAAGGAAGAAGCATACGTCTAAATCAAATTGAAAGCAAAATAAAGTGCGCTATTGTTATACTACCTAGTGGCAGCTATATTTCTGCGAAGCTAAACATATTGCATTTATTCTTAATTTGAAACTAATATTAGTATCTCTCGGTAAGCGATCATAAGAATTAGTTGCATGTAATGACGTGTAATGCAACAAAACATGCAACTAATTTCATTACTAAAATCGCTGAAATTTTCATTACTTTTACAGTTTTACCAAAAATCGCGCTTCCTACGAAACTATTTAATTTTGTGAAATTAATGCGTGCGTAATAAACTTAGTATTAGTATGTTTACACGTGAAATCATACACGAAATTAACACGATAAAAATAATTTTATGACACTAATTTCGTAATGTAAATTAGGTTTTAGGGTACTGCATACTGGTGGAATTATAGGAGTGGGATGAGTCAATTTACGTTTTAGGGTGACGGGCGCAGTGGCAGTGCACCAGACCTTAGACTATTTTTTCCATCCTCTAAGCATCGGCCATCGACTTGTTCGTCCTGTCATTTGGTATCATAAATAAAGGAAGTTTATTACTAATAACCGGCTAAGATATGGTAACACCTGTAAATATACAATCTGTTTCAATAAATTTTTATTTGAATCTATTGTTGTTTCGTCGATTTCTGCCAACAAAAATGTCAAATTTGGGCAAAGCAAGAAAACTTGCGACCAACAAAATTACTTTTAGTGTAATAGTTTGTTGAAAATTGAAACTTATTTTCATCTGCGCATGGAAAGCTGATAATTTAATATGATTGGTGCAAATCTGAGATGAGAACCTCAATATTTTATGTGTTGTTATGGTTAATCTCTTCTGTGAGTAATTCAGTTTCAATCGTGTACCCACATAATATTTCATTTATTAAGTAAAACACTGCAAGTACAGTGTATATATGTATTTAATTACAACAAGAATCTTTTGGCCGTTATCAAGGGAAAATAAATTTATTATGTTCATCTATAGAAATAGCTTCTTTAGCACAGTACAATTATAATAGCGGGATACATTTTTTGAACATGTGATATAAAAAATAAGTTAAATGTATCTTTTTATGTTTATTAACCGCAAAAATTACAAAAATCCGAAAAATCTTTTATGTATATTTTTCTCAAAATGCTGTTTATGATATCACGGAGTTTAGGTTCGACATGGTAGAGTCCAGATAAAATTAAAACTACGATAATACTATATCAACTCGTCGCGTCCATAGAAACAATTTTTACTATAGATACTCTACATGTCAGGAATAAGATCTATTAAATAAGTTCCAGACGAATGAACTTTGATTTTTTGTACGGGAGAAAGATATTTATATTGATAAGCTCTACAGTGGGACTAGTAAAGAGTCCGAAACGTTGGTTAGTTTGCAAAAACAAAAAGATTCATTTCCAATTATAGCAATTGCGACAACCTGAGAACTGAAAACCAAGAGTTAATCATCATTAAATTTTTATTGAATTGATATTCAATTATTTTTTGTGAAGTTACTCCACTAGTTTGTTGCAATTATTAATGCAAAGATCGAACATTTAGAAAAAAATCCTTCGAGTCGGCCGGATTCGAAACGACGTCCCCTAGCAAATCGTGCCAGACGCTATGCCAACTAAGCCACGGAACGAACCAGCGTACCTCACGAATTTTTCTATGTGCTTGTTGTCGGATCTTTGTATTTGGTTTTTCAAAGTATTTTTAGTACGTTTTTTCAGTATTTATCATCATTTTCTTTTTGGTCTCAAGTTTACCCAGTAGAGCAATCTAACAAGTGATATCAAACTAAGAAGTGATATTTTGCCAGTCATTGAGATATGTTTTCGGCTCGTTATCTGCCAAATCGGAGCGTGGAAAAGCTGAGTTTCAGTCACCGATATTATTTCATTAATATTGACTTATTTCACAGGTTTCCAAACTTTTTGGTTCACCGCCCACTTAGGCAAGATAAAAAGATTTCATCGCCCACCACCATAAAAAAATAATTGAAAACACGTATTTTTTATATTAAAACATATGTAGTGTAGTTTATTATAGACAATACAGGTTTTTTTTCAAATGCGGTAGCATCCCCTGACAGAATCAACGCCTCCAATTGCATCCGAGTCCCCAACCGCCCCCTAGGTCAGCGCTCACTTTGGTAAACTTTGACTTAGTGGCATGGAGATATATCTACGCTTCTTTTCCGCTACGTTTTGATGGATAATGGACCTTTGACGCACTTGTGCAGTTTTAGCAATAGAGCTCATTGTGAAAAAGTTTGTCCAGAGAAGTACTGCCACCTTATTATTTCTAGCATCAAGCAGTAATGTGAGCATTACTGCGTCCCGGTTTTGAAGGGTAAGGGCGAAATTACAGGCACACGAGACTTGTCAACTTATGTCTCAGGGTGATAGGCATACTGGCAATGTGCCTCAGATCTTTGCTATTTAAAACTCTCAGTGGCACTGCAACTGCTATGGACAAACGAGTCGTTTAACAAAAAAAAAAACTTTCCATCTTTTTCCTTTACCAGTACATACAGTACCATTTCACTGCTGATTAACTTCTTTATCACCATGAACTTGCCATGGGAATTAGCGATCTTAGAATTGCTGCTCGTAATGAAATAAGAAGATGCTGCAAATCTCTTAAGTGGCTTGTTGCGTTGCCGTCGTGGGATTCATCCTGCACATAACTGAGAGCCAAGCTGCAAGATGGGTACGTCAAGTTATCTAGGAAAGGGGAGCCCTGTCTATTTCATTTTACAGTTCCAAATTAGTTTGGAACATTGCCAGTTACCAGCCTTTCTCAAACGGTAAATGGACTGAATTAAGTTCTTTCGGTGAAAGCCGTTTTTGATTTCGCATTCCCACTTTAGTCCAGAATATTAAAACGCTAATATAAGGTCGATATCCTTGAAACTAAAATCTGCCATTTCTGTTAAAGTTAAACGATTTCATGTTTGGCAACTTATTTTCAAAAATTGCCAGGAATTGTTTAACTTGCATTTGATTCATTTATTCATGAATCATTTGCGTAAAAAACTTACAAAGTGTAAAATTTTCAAGATAAGTACATTGGACGAAGATATTGTGTAAAAAAAGACTAACATTAGTGTTTGTTTTCCGTCTTTAATAATAAAGTTTTTTAACCAATCATGGACACTACCAACGTATAAACGTTGTATATTAATCCAATGACTGGACTCGGCTCCGGCCTGGTCGGCTTTTGCGTACAAAATAATAGTAACACCGTATATAAGTTTTTAGCAGCAGTAGAGGTCCTTGTGAGGGTTTTTCCAGGGTTTTTCTGCTGCAACTTTACCTATTTGTGCCGCCAAGCAGTAATGTAAGCGTTACCACGTTCCGGTTTTGAAGGGTGCTGGTAAAATTACAGGCACGTGGAACTTGTCAACTCGTGTGTCAGGGTAACAGGCGCAGTGGCGGTGTTCCTCAGATCTTTGCGATTTAAATCTCTTAGTGGCACTGCAACCGTTATGGACAGCCGTGTCGCTTACTTGTTTGCACCGTCACTTAGTTATACTAATAAAAGTAAGTTGGTTTAACAAGATTAATCTAATTTTAGTGGCCATGTGCATGTCAAGACGCAGACATTCTGGGGATCGGGAACGTGGGACCCGACCTGTCCATCGATAATCAAGAATGGCATTACAAGAGTACCAGTAAAAGACCAGCTGAAGAATTGGAGAAAGTCTGCTTCGACATTCATCCCACTGCCAGGGATATTGTGAAACGATTCTATGCCATTTTACCTTAGTGAGTGGCACCAGTAAAATAATGGAAAGAAGATAAAATATGATATGGCTATTATGCACAAGATACTTTGGTTCAAGCAAGGTAGTGGTATAGGGTAAGAGTGGAGTAGGTAAATCTTAAGTAAGGTCAGAGAACAAAAAAGTAACGAGAGTGGACACTCTCCGCCCCTCCCTAGCTTTAGATAGCGCACCACGCCCCGCACATTGACGGTCACATTGAGTTAACGACCGTAAGGCCGTCAGCGAGCCAGTTGATATTTGAATATAGTTTTCATTTATTCATTACGAAACTTGTACGTTAATATAACATCATTGTACGTCATGTACGTTACTATAATGGTCGTGAATTGTGTTGTGTACGGCTGTTTGTCAACATCTAAACTGGATAAAGAGAGATTCTTTCGTTTTCCGGAATATGAAGCGAAGTATGTTAAAAGAAGTTCGTGACCTAGTAGACAAGGGTCCCCGAATTTTCAATTTGTATTGCTGATAAATATTATGTAGTAAATATGCCTAATTATTAACTAGGTACCCTTGGACAAGTAAATTCAATTACCTTTGTTACATTATTTAAAAGTACCTATCCAAAATATAACATTTTAAGTGCTTTTAATATATTTTTTAAATAAATCTTCAGTATTATTCTAGTTAGTGAATTAATGAAAAATATAATATTATATCGATATAAATACCTAATGAACATGTGTAATTATTAGGATTCTATTAATAGAATTATAGATAACAGATTCGCGTTACAATTCTCGCTATGTTGCCGCTCTGACTATGTAACGTAATAGTACGAGAAGTGATGCGTAACCCTGCCACATCACGCACACATTTGCGCGTGTGCAGATAGTGCCTTGCTGTATGTATGTAGTAGTAGGTAAATAACTTTCGACCGTTGTTTGGAGTATCCGGCGTGTAAAGTATTTTAACGCGAGCCTAGATTTTAAGAAGTGTACGAGTATAGCTTGCGCGTCGTCCAATCAACGCGCAGAAAATGAATATGATTGAATAAGAACAAGCGGAGCAAATTTGACGTTAACAAGCGCCCGTTGGCGACAGCTTTTTGGGATTAATGTGAATTTAATAACTATAGGGCTTTAGTTGAAAATCAAAATTTAGCAGCTTCTCTGTAGTGCTTAAAGAGAAATATCTCCATATAAAAATTATCTGCAAGGTTAGATATTTTATTCTTAAATAATTCGTTTTAGATTTTTATTTTTAACCTGTTTTCGAGATTTTATGTAATCGAGTGAAGTACATGCTATCGTGTAACAAATTAGCACATTCTTTAGAGAATATCCTTAGATGTGTCCTTCATTTTACGTACCGTTATATAACAGTAAATACCTAAGGATAAGTCCGGATAAATTCTCAGCTGTCTTTTGTTGGGAATCCCAAAGACTTTAGAATTGAATGTCATGAGATTCTATTGAAAAATTCTAATTATTAAGTTTAACAATTGAACAGTATTTGCCAACAATGTGGTAGACAGAAGGTATACGTGTTTCCGGAAAAATCGTTCGTCTTGAAAAAGATTGGTCCTTGATTTTCACGTGTCTAAATTTTTCCATTACAGTTTTGATAAAGAACACGCGAACAAGGCATTTCTGCATAAGTTCCGTGGTACTGTGAATGTGATGTCGCAGACCGAGGACCTACTGGACAGGGAAGCCGCGTTTTACGCTACGGTGCTGACGCCAATCATCTTTCTTCAGTCTTATCGGCATACTTGGTGCCTTCTTGAACGGGTAATGTGATTTAATCGATTACAGAATTAGAACTCCATTTAATTGAAACTCGTCATCAAAATATGTTGCGTATAAAATGTTGTCATTTACACAATTTTCCAAATTAACACGATCTTGTTTCTTTTGAACATGATCTTGCCTGCTAGATTATAATTTTAATGAGTGGCTTACGTTTTGTAAGAAATATTTTGGGATATGGGGTAGAACAAACCAATACTAAAAATAGTAGCAGTAGATCTCCTTTTGAATGAGTTCGTGCGGGGAAGTACTGCCACCTTACCTATTTCTGCCGCCAAGCACTAATGTGAGCGTTAGTTTTGTAGGATAAAGGTGTTGTCAACTTATGTCTCAGGGTGACAGGCGCAATGGTAGTGCCCCTCAGATCTTTGCGATTTAAAGCTTTGAGTGGCACTGCAACTATTATGAACAGGCGTGTAGTTTACCACCAGGCACACGACTTATTCATCCCTGTAACGTGGACTCATTTAGTGTTGATAACAGTCATCGAGTATATAACCAGAAATAGAGACAAAATGTCGTTTAATTTGTTTGAAAACTATTCGGCCATGTCATTGCGGTGACAACTGCGCTTTCCAGCCCGAATTCGAAATCAGTGACGGGTGTCCTCAATTGTTTCACTTCAATTCGACTTTAACTTGAGTTTGAAGTTTAACTTGAGCTTTGCTATAATGTACGAAAATTGAAAAATGACATATTTAGTATTTAATTACCGACGAAATGTGATTCGTTTGTTTTGTAATTAGATGTTTCGCGGTTTTTTCCATACCGCCGAATGGAACAGCCCCCCATAGTTAGAGATATTATCTTTATTACAATACGAGACGACGTACACACAAGTCAGTTGTTGGCGCTGTACTATTTCAGCTTTCTAATTTATGATTTCCTTGCAAATGAGACTTGAATTTAGAAGTGAATAAGGCCCATTTCCCTGATGAGTTGCCAGGGATGGATGGCCCTTATTTCGTCTCTATTTCAGGTTATATAGGTACTCGATGGTAACAATTTAGTACATGTGCACAAAACAACAGAGAAGAAAATATCACTACCACTTATTTTTACGCACGTGGATCATAGATCAATGCTTCACGTACGGAGAGTCGAGCCGGTTCGCTATCATGCTCAGGATGCTGTTGGTGCTGGCACGATCCGCGCGCTAGGGATGTGCATCGCATTCCGCATGATGGTGTAGAAACAATCGAAACGTGCTCTCGCAAAATCCCTGACGCGCTACAGCGGCAGCTCCATCAGCATCCTGAATTCGTTGATGTATTAACCACGTAGAGCACTGAGTACTGTTTCTGAATGTATGTAACCCACAAGCTGCTTATGTAGAAGATCGCACAATATTCTCTGAAGAGTTGTGATTCTAGCATCAAATGGTTTCCTTTACTATTCTTGTAGCATTTCTTCCACTTCTCAAGTAAATAAAAATATTATGTTATTATAAAAAATAAAATAAATAAAATAAAAGAGACGTTCCAATTATCTGATAAAAACTTATTGCAGTTTCATCGCGCGTTGCGTTTGTATCAAATTTCACACCCAACTGAGAAAAGGTCTGCATTGAAGCTTCTGCAGAATCTTAGAGCCGTCAATCAAAAGGTAAATTGGATAGATTGAGAGTAATAATAGCTATACCAACTCTCTACAATGGAATTTGGCTAATCATCCTTAGGCTTAATGTCTAAAAGAGAGTAATTTTTCACAATGCGTTTCGATTTTGAAGGGTTAAGTGTGCTGGTGAAATTACAGGCACTTTTCAACTTATCTGAGACATAAATGACGGGCGCAGTAGCAGTGCAGGATCTTTGCGATTTAAGGCTGCCTTTCCACCAGAGACGTGCGACGTAGCGAGGCGGTGTGCGAGAAAAAATCCACCAATAGGATTATTCCATTTTCCTAGCCTCGCTTAGCGCAGCTCCGGTGGAAAAGGGTTAGCTGAGCTAAGTATTTGAACATACAAAATAGCGAGAAAAGTTAATAATAATAATAACGCACACACTCAAGATAGCCCCGCACTAGGGAAACCCTGTGTCGCGGGTGCCATGGACACACACATAGACAACCACAAATTACACCCAAACTCACGAGAGAAATAAATGTAGGCCATACGAATATTTCTCCCAGCCCGGGAATCGAACCTGGGACCTCTGCCTGGCAGTCCGGCATGGTAACCGCTCGGCCAAGGAGGCAGGAGGCAAAAGTTGTGCGAGGAATGTGTGCAAAACGGTGTATCAAACTAGAGCTACGAAACTATAACACTAACTGACACTGACTGACTGAGTTCGTAACGCATCCTCGCACAGCTTTCTTGGAAATCATCATGCGGTTTCTCAGCGCCACTACACATCCTCGCACCGTCTCGCTACCTCACACATCTCCCATGGAAAGGCAGCCTTAAGCTCGCAGCGGCACTGCAACTGTTATGGACAGGTGTGTCGTTTACTACCAGGTGCACAACTTGTGCGTCTCCTTACTTGGTATTGTAAAGAAAAAACTTTTTTACTTTCCTTGCAACCTTCTTACTCTACCAGGTGCGGAGTTTTATCCTGGACATGCCGGGTTCCTGGGCATCCACAAAACGCACCACGTCCATCAACAGCGATTTTGACGACGAGGAGATTCGCGACAAGAAAGACATCAGATACCTTAAAGAGCTGATTAGAAATCTTGGTTAAATCTTTGCCTTTTTATGTAGCATAATGTTCCGTATGGACGTGAAATTCGACCTAAATATGTATATCATACGTATGGGTTAGGATCTTATAAAGCAGTAAAAAAAATACTTTTTCGAGTAATAATATAACAGTGAAAGTGTTGAATAAATCACTTTGGAATAAAATTAAAGATATACCTACTGATTACTACTCTGTGTGAAAACACGCTTTCTAAAAATTTTCACGTTAGAAAAAAAAACTTACACTTACCTCGAAATTTTACAAGAAAACCGCTTTCAATTGGTACTTCATATAGGTACCAATTACTTTTTTATATCAATGGAACTACATAGAACACGTATACTGTACGATATACATTTTTCAAATTTCTTTAATTTAATTTGTATAAAAATAAATTCTGAAATAACGTACCCCTGCCACTCGATCTAAGCAAAATGAGCCGTATTAGCATGGGAGAAAGATGAATTCGAGCTGAGTAGTATCAACTCTTAAGAAGCTTGAAATGTAGCGGTATACACAGCAGTAGAGCTCCTTGTGACAGAATTCGTCCAGTGAAGTACTGCCATATATGTATATTATATATTTTAATAAAATATTATTATTGGCATGTGTTACCTACTGATCGATTTGAAGTTTTACTTTACCACTAAAAAATATTGATACTAAATATTTACAATACCTAATTAGTTAGTTTTAGAGTTGGCGCAAAGTATGGTATTTTTACAAACTTACGGTACAGCATTAGAATCCATCAAAGTATTTCTTTCCTTGCGCTGTGAAATGGTGTGATGTTTTCCACCAAAGCTGTGCGAGTTAGTTATGCGGTGCGTGGATACGTAACGAAGGCGTAAAACGGTGTGTAGTTGAGCGATGCGAGGATGAGTAGCGGATTCTTTTTAACTATACGCGGGAGGCGGGGTGTGTGCGGTGTGGTGGAGTGAGCGGAGGCGACGACGACGGCGCGTTCGCTTCCGAACCTGGCACACATTCCTCGCTCGCGTACCTCGCACACATTCCTCGCATACGTCCCTCGCTTTTTCGTATGTACAAATGTTTAGCTTCGCTAGCCTTTTCCACCAGAGCTGCCCTAAGCGAGGCTAGGAAAACGAACCTCACCAATAGGTTCGTTTTCCTCGCACACCGCCTAGCTACCTCACACATCTCTGGTGGAAACGCAGTCTTAAACCTCGATTACTATCAGATCCATTGTCGCTAAAACTCATACATATAGATATATGAAATCTAGATAAGGATTGGTCGTAGTTTCAAATTTAAAAAGAAATAACAAATGTTGAACTGTTAATATAATTTAAGCTTTACGCAGTTGGCATATCGTTGAAAGTTTATTACCATCAATAGCTATTATTGCAAGTTACGACGTTTTGATTTTATATTGAAATTTCAGTCAATATGCTGCCGTCTAACTGTTAATAGCTGAACGACTAGGAAATCTGAGATAATTACTTAGTTCTCTATAAAATTCTCTATAGAATTTAGAATATATTGCAGAGGTATAACGTTTACTTTCCTTTCTTGTAATAAAAAAAATGATAACGGTAAACAGAAAATTTAAAATTTATTAAAATTAAATAAAATAAGACATTAATGTTGATACAAAAACCACCATATATAATATTACAAGTACGATCATAATTTTTGTAATCCAAAGTACAACCATAATTTTTGCACTCTATTTTCGTGGTTTTGCGCGAGATAATTGATGACCTTAACATACATCGCGAAAATTGCGGACTGTGCTCAAGTTTGCAGAACTCCACGAACTGTTGGCATACGTGTCACGCAAACTAAGCTCTTTTACTATATTTATTGTTCTGTAGCCATTTTTAAACGACTAAATTATCATTAGTTACAGGTTTCTTACCATGTTATGACTTTCTTTATTCTTCTCTCTATATTAAAAAATATAACTTCTAAATCTTAAGTTACATTTTAAAAAGCCACAATGTAATAAGAAATCAATAGACCGATTCTCGCTGCAACATATTCATGTTTTCTATAAAAATCTACTAAGTAGTTCTTTTACATGGTGTCAATCATAGATATAGTCAATACACAAATGTCAGGTCGAAAAATTTTGTTGTCTCTAATAAGAGGTAGTCAATAGCATATCATGCATGACACTTTGGACTTTGGACCGTTCCTATTGCAAGGGGCATACAGTGAAATTTAAACCTTTATTGTCAAGCTTGACGTGCTCTTGACCCTGTACACTTTTCTTTTTTATCGATTGTAATAATAAATATAATGAATAAGGAGATTTAGTACATAGACACCATTGATTTGAGATTTTTATGTTCAAGAGTTAAATGCAACTTTTGTATCAAGAGGATGTTTTTGTGTAAAGTCAATTGTTTCGACGAGACAAGAACGTACCATTGTGCGATTTCTATTGCCCACGACCACTCGTTGCATATCGACTGTTGAGGATTAACTTGAGTTTAGAGCCCCCGAGTCTGCTGATACACCCAGTCTTCTCGGTTTCTCTTCTTGATAATTTTTCTCAATTGTATAAAAACAATAATAACATTTTTGGCAATTTAATTTTCATTACGCAATTCAAGAGCACCTACCAACTAATAAAACTTTTCGAGAACGAGAGTTCGTCTCGAAAGAGATTTTGAGACGACTTTTCAATTGGCCTGTGTGCGTGCTAGCAGCCCAACCAATCGGCGAATAGAACGTCTGTCCCTTACTTTGAGATTTTTGACGATGCCAAAAACTTCTCTGTTGCACGAGATATAGAGTGGAAGAATGATCAAAGTAATTGAAGACACGTTTTGAGTGAATACCGCCATCCAGTTGGGTAAACGTTGAACGTACTTTGCCTAAATCAGTAAAAGGCTAATAAGGGCCATTAAAAATTAGCTTTTACTTTTAGTCATAAATGGTAGAAAAGTTAAAAATTATTTATAAATATTTTTAGTCAAAATGGATTACATTACGTTACATACATTTATGTCAATATTGACTTCATATATAGCATTTGTGCGTGTGTTTTCATCAATATTTAAAAGTTCTCCAAATTAAAAATACTTTTTACTTAAAATTCTCCTCAAGAGACTTTGATCGTTATTTCTCTGGACTCTTCTATTGTTTATACCCGTCATTGCCTAGAAACTATTATAAGACTGCTTCTGCTTAATTACACTAGTAAAAAACATATGAATTAACATAATTAAGATGAGAAAAGTGAATATCACCAATATGAGTATCAGGAGATTGTAATCGTCACACGTGCGCTCGAATTTATTCGATCTCACTACGCAGGATGCTGTCGAGGGTATATCCGAAAATGTTACTGCCTTATGGATCTCGTGTCTTGTGACTTCATTGTCCGTAATTTCGAAAGTGTACATGATTTCAGCCTTTTCTGAAGTAATTTTTCGTAAGTATACTACTGAATTGGATTTATGATTGTCAAGTTTGTTTCTTATTTTCGCTATAATTTCGCTGAAAGATAAAGTAATAAGTTCACTTAATAATTTATTATTTTCTCAGATGTTATTCAAAAAATTCAAATTCAAAATTTTTATTTCGGGTCATGATCATAGAGTGTTAGAAAAACTTATAGGCTATGTTAGTATGGGAAGCTATTATTAAATACATCAAAAATAAAAATAAAACTACATCAAAATATAAACTAAGACCTTAGAACTCATGTGCATTGAGTTCCAGTGCTTCCAAATAGCACAGTTCAAAGTGTACCTGGAAGTTTTTGTTTTTGTAAAAGAAATTATATATAATACCTAAACACAAAAAAAAAACATGTATGTATATATGAAATTGTCAGGAGTGGATTTTATTTTTATAAACATAAACATTTATAACGGCCAGCATCCAAAATGTAGTAACGTCCGAGGTGGACCACCACCAATTTAAGTTTTGTGGTTATATATTTTATACCTAAGCGATGAGCCACGGGAAGTACAAAATGCCCGTGGTCCACCCAGGTGGACATAGGTGATCTATGGGAAGAAATAATTACCCCCACCTGGTGGGGGTCTCTGATCAACATCAGAGAGGTGGACCACGAGCAAGAAGGGCACAAGCAGGGTACTCTCAAATTAAATTCACAAGGCTGTTAGTATCACCACGCACACGACGCAAACCAGTAACATTATTAATGTGTGTTACAAACGAAAATTAGTTTGTAACACACATTAATAATGTAATATAAATATAAATCCTAAACAAAATAAAAGAATTGACGGCACTGTTTTAAAAATGTGCAATAAGCGCCATCTAGTCAGGTTTGTTATCACTACAAATTGAGTAGTTTTGATAAATTGCGACTTGTTAATGTAAAAAAGAAGTTAGTTACAAAATTAGCTATTCAGTACTCGACGCGACATCTGGGGTACCAATAGGTATTAAATACCGACTACGCCGTCTTATATCGATTAGCAGTTCTCTAGCGTTATTGGTGCATGATTGACACGAATATCGTTTGAAATGGAAATACTATTATTTTATTTACCTGTATTTTGCAGATCTATTTTCCATATAAATATCAAAATCATTATTGTAGTTGTACAAAGCCTTATTGAAAGCAGAAAAGGCTTTGTGTATATTCGTGTTTGATATGCTGTGGTAGTCAGCACTGTTGTTGTACGAGTATGTATCCAATAAACTTAGGGAGTATACTTCTCCCATGCGCTGTAAATAATGCAAGTTAGATAAAGAAATTCTTTTGCTTTTTAACCGATTTAAAAAAGGAGTTGTTCTCAATTCGACAGTATGTCGTTTTTTTTGTATGTATGTTACGCGATAACTCACTATTTGTCAACTGATTTCGAAGATTATTTTTTGTTAGAAAGAGGGTACCTCAGACGAGGTCCCATTTAAATTTGAAGAAAATGTTCTACCTTTAAGGGTGGCAAACTAGGGGATGAATGATTTTTGAGGTCGATTTTTTTAGTACTCTGTACTGAGATTATTTGTATTTTCATTGACTCAACGCATAGGGCATATAAAAGAGCATAAAAAGGTCAGACTTTATAACGAATCAGTTTGGTTGAATTCTTGTCCAAGCCAATATTCAGCTACATATTATAAGAAGCAGTGTAATAACTTGAAATAGTCTACAAACAGTTGTATATCATTTTCTACTTACAGATGCCCCTCTGTCGTTTTTAAATGGCCAACCTCTCCAAATCCACATATATCCATGCTGCGCGTTTAACCCCAACTCATCCGCAGTTTTAACCAGCGCAGGCGCGTATTGTTCGTCCACATTTACGATGATTATCCTTGCTTTAACTTCGTAGAAATCTATCATTGCCTGAAACGTTGTCAAGCTTAATACGACCAGCAGGCTTAGCATGAGCCCGAAGTCAAAAGTTGTCTCTCGAAAATCTCGAGAAAATTGACAGTTCGAAGAAGAGATGGCCTTTGTCTTCGGGCTCATGCTAAGCCTGCAGAATTCAGAAGTAAATGCCTCATTGAATCTTAATTTTTTTTTGACTGCCTATTTGAGCGACTACCGAAAATTCTGGTTTTTATGATATTAAGTACCTAACGGGACAAATAAGCCGTGCGTATGGTGGTAAGCGACTCGCTTATTCAAAGTCCGTATCCAAAGTATCCAGTTGCAGTGCCACAGAGGTTTTAATCGCAAAGATCTAAGGGGCAATGCCATTGCCTCATCACCCTGAGACATAAGTAAAGTTGACTAGTCCCATGTGACTGTAATTTCACCAGCATTTTTACCCCGGAACCGGAACGTAGTAGTGCTCCCATCACTAACGGTAAGATGGCAGTACTTCCCTGAACGAACTCTTTTCCAATGAGCTCAACTGTTGCTAAAACTAGTCACCAAACTGAGCGTATAAAGAAAAAGATTTAAAATAAGTTTATGTGTGCTGGTGAAAGTACTGGCACATTAGGCAATTATCACACTGTTCCACGCAGCGGAGAGCACGAGACGATGAATCCTGCGCCCTGCACTCCTGTGTGTGAGACGCGTTGTCAGTGTGTTGTACCTTACAACTTGTACGGCGAAAAAAGCAGTTCCACACACCATTGCGTGGAGCGGAGTAGTGTGATAATCGCCTTATTGTCAACTTTGCGCCTCTGGGTGACGGGCACAAAGGCAGTGCTCCGAGTTGCACTACAACTGTTATGGGTAGGCTTACCACCAGACGCACGACTTTGTCCCGTCATATCAGTAGGTTTCATAAAAAAGATCTCGCGCTGCTTTAATCTGTAGTTAGAATAATCCAACAGGTCAATTAATACAAAGTTATGTCAAAAATACAATCTTACCTGACGAAAATCACAAGTTTTATCATAACATTGTTTGACATTATAAGCAATGTTCTTCTCGTGTAAAGCAGATGTCAATATAACCTCAAAATTCGAACTGTAAGCTGAAATGTCCGAAATAATTCCAACTCTTATCCATTTAGCTAACTCTATTAGCTTTACCGCGGCTTTTGTCAAATGTGTGTAATAATTCCCATGTACAACCGCCGAATTAGGATATTCGTATTCATATTCTGGCAAAATTTCTGGTATATCATAAAATATACTCGGCACAGACAATCTAAACATTAAATCCATTGGTCTAGGTGCAATTATTCCAAGTATGTTATTGCGATTGAAATTAGATAAATTACAATCTTTAACCATTTTATACTGCAATTTATAACTGCTTTCATAGTAATTTTCAGCGCATATAACTACGCGATTTTTGTATTGATTTTCTGTAACGTATTGTAGCCAATAATCCTTCGTCATAGGGTTATAGTTTTCGTCAAGTACTTCAAGTAATGACATTAGGTCTTTGTACTTTTGCAAATGTTTACTAACAACTTTGATTGTTGTGTAGTTAGTCGGTCTGCACACATCTACGAAAGAGCAGTTTAAAATGTCTGAAGTTCCTGGTTCTTCAGCGTTAATTGTAGAACTGTTACAATAATTAACCTTAATACTCGTACATTGTTGTTCGTGGACATTCAAGTAGCCTGCATACGCTAGCCTTTCTGGTAAGTGTGTATCAGCGTAACGGTTTTTCACTTTTAAATTTATAACACTGAAATGAGGAAGGTAATTAATTGCTTCAGTTAATAAAATTTTAAAAAGGAATCAAACTGATCTTGATAACCCATTCCCATTAAGAGCCTATACTACCTCAAATGACTTTGGTTGATTCTGGATAATAGTGAAAGTGTTAAATCAATCTCTTTGGAAATAATATATAGTAAAATTAAGGATATACATTGATTATGGTGTGAAAACACGATTCTTAAAAATTTTCACGATACAAAAGAAACTCAAACTTACTTCGAATTTTACAAGATAACCGCTGAAGTCAATTTTGGAATGGCTTTAATATCCTTTGAAAAAAAAATTCTGAAATAAAGTCCCTGCCGCTCGACCTAATCAAAATCAACCGTATTAGCACGGGAAAAAATTGAATTCGAGCTGACGTAGTATCGACTCTTAGGGCATATAACTTGGTTAGTCGGGGAAGTTATACCAATTGTGTAATTAAATAGGAGGTGCACTTACTTTTCAAAGTAGTTAGCGACGATACTCGTTGCTAATAGGCTATTGGTACAGAAATGATCAACTTCAAGAACTTTGAACTTGAGTGCATGTGCTATGAGCTTAAAGTTGTCATTAAGCTCGTCATCCTCTTCTGATGATTTTAGTAGAAGAAGCAGCGGACCTTCATGTCTGTTATGGATTTGCTCGTAATTTTTAATATTGTATTGTACTCTAAATTTCTCTGAAAAGATTAAGGTGTGTAAAGACTATTAAAAACTTTATACCTAGTGCGTAGTGATTGATGCATGTCTAATCGCAATTAATTTACGGTGCATTTTCTATTGTTTTTAAACGAATTTTAATTTTGCAATCTAGAGTGCATTTTAAGGTTATGTACAAGGTTGAGGTAATTCCTTTTACTAATCAATATTCACATGTTTGAAATTATTTAAGTATTAACATTTTCGAATAAAATTTAGTTTATAATTGCTTTACCTTTTCACATTCATATTAATTTATTAATTGTATGATAGGTACGTAGTTACAGATCTTATATAGAAAACATAATACCCTTCAGGGCGCTGCAACATAGGAATGAGGCAGGTCGATATTATGGAAATTTGTCGTCCAAATATTATTGCAATATTAGTGTTTTTTAACTTATTAATGAATTTGTTTGTTTTATTTTCTTGTTTCATATGCTTGGGTAGCTTGTTATACTTATATTTTGATTGACTTTCCATATGAGTTTACGGGCTGGATTTATGCAACTTTAATTTTGATGTGGGTACTGCAAGATTATTTATATTTATTATATATTTAGATAGTATCTTGTTGGATGACATCGGGCCGCATCTCTCAATTTAGTGTAAATATGTGAATACTTTTTACATATTTGCAAGTTTCCAAAATATAAATAGACGTTAGGGCGCGTTCGCATTATGTCGCAACGTTTTATTTATCGTTTGACGAATGTCGCGTTTAGCCTGTTCCCAAATCACGACTATCAGTCGTGGCTATGTCGTGGACGTTTATATTATCGTTGAACGACTGTCGTGTCTAGGATGTTCGCACTAGATCGTGACGTCAATTTATCGGTTCACGGCAGCCGCGTTGTCGTTTGCACAACACTACGTAAAATTAAATAGTTTTTTTTAGTAATTTTTTGTATTGCTGTTTCCAATTCACGTTTGTGTCGATATACATTCCGAGTAAATTAAATGTATCGACGCTGTCTGTTTTTGATTGTTTATATGAAATTTATATTTAGTGGGGGTTTTTGATAAGGCTAAATTAGATTATTTTAGTTTATGTGAAGTTAGTTATTTTATCATATAATAATATTAAAATAATATTAATTTTGAGTTTTTAAATCGGAAAGGCGGTATTCCCCGGCAATGATACAGTCGACCGGGATCAGGGACTCAAATTCAAGAACCGGCAATCAACGTGTTGTATCGATCAGGATCATTTCTGCATTTGTGCTGGAAGCGACACGCCACAAAAATGTTGTCCCTTCAAGTTGGACGAAACTATTGGGATTATTACAGTGGAGGCCACATCTCACACAGCGATAATCTTCGTGCGCCAGATCGAGATACTTCCGACGTTTCTCGATTTCTCGTGAAACCGACCCTCATCATATGGGATGGTAACGACCACGAAAAATACCCTCGACTGCGACCGATCCAATATCGCAATATCAGGCTTATTCGCCAGAATAGCCCTGACTGTGATAATGGATCGGTCCCAAAAGATTTTGTTGCGGTCGTTTTCGAATATTGGCGCCGGTTAATACTTGTAATAAGGTGTCCTCTGTTTCACGAGTCCGTACTTTAGAGTGAGCTTTTGGTATACTATTTTAGCTACCTGGTTGTGTCTGCAAGTAATCAGTGTTAGCAAGACCGGAGCCACCGGAAATAATATACCTAAGTGACTCTCCGGGACGGCTACATACCTGACATAGGCTGCTACTAAACCATAAGTTCCCTAGCTTTTACCGCCCCCTTAGGACCCTTCAGCGCTAATACAACTCCATGCAGTCGAGATCGACGACGACGACGACGACGTTTGTCTATAACAGTTGCAATGCCGCTTATAACTTTAAACCGCAAAAATCTGAGGGGCACTGCCACTGCACCCGACACCCTGAGTCATAAGTTGACAAGTCCCATGTGCCTGTAATTTCACCAGCACCGTTACCCTTCAAAACGTAATAATGGTCACATTATCGCTTAGTGTCAGAAATAGGTAAAGTGGCAGTACTTCACTGGATGGAGTAAAAGTGAGGGTGAGGGTGAAATAGCAGGTTCACGGGACAGTAAGTAAGATTGTGGAATTGAGAAAAGACGGTTTGAAAATTAAAATAAAAACGTATATTGAATGAAACTTTTTGCGAATACCGTGATAATTTATATTTACATAATATTAGTTATCTATTTATACACGAGAATATATATATATACTCATCGGTTTCATTCAGTAATTTTTTGAACTTTCATATCGTGTCTTCTCATATAATAATATAATAATTTTTTCATGTCAAATTACTCCACTAAAAATAAAACAGAAAAAATAGTTAATTTTGAGTTAAGTAGATATATTTTAGTTGTTTTTTACAATATCCTAATGACGGTTTTATTGACGTGTAGAGAATAAAATTTTACGTTCAACAATGGTATAATCTTGAATTTCACATATTTTGAGTTATAACACTATTGTAATAGCAGTGCCATATGCATGCCTCCGAAGTTCCGTAATGGTTGATATGCAACTATAGACAAGAAAATGAGATATTTCCTCTTACAGGATGGAATTGGTTTCCATAGTCTAAGTATTTCATGGACTCTTTTAATTTTAGTGAAGCGACATGCTCTTTAACTCCGATATTTATCGAGCCAACAGATTATGTAACGAAGTTTATTCAAGTTGATAAACTTTGGTACCTGTTTAATAAATTATAATGAAATGAAATAAATTATAAATAATTATAGTAAATTCTTATTGTTTATTATAATGAATCGGCGGATTCTTCTCCATATGAACGGGAATCATCACTTGAATCCTCATTAATCTTGAGTACACAAATTGTCAAACGCAATATCACAAAACCAATCAGACAATATCTTCTTTTTTGAACTCGCTCACAATCACGATTAATCATTCTTCATAAATAAAACCGATTGTTATAAAAAATCGAATCGGAAACGCATTAGGACATCATTAATTGATTAGAATTCGAACTGTCAAAAGTTAAGAGGGAGCATGCTGGATTCGCTCTGGACCTTTTGGAGGGAAAAGTGTCGTTTTTATTTTGACTTTCAATTATTTTGTGAAATCTAGTTTAAAGTGGAATAGGATAGTGCCATTGTGCCTTAATCGAAGATTAAAACGCGAAATTATACGAATCTCGAACTAAAATACCCGTATCGGCCCGTTCTAAGGAATCCCGAGTCAATCCAAGCACGCCGTCTCAAATTGCCTGTCCTCTTTGTGGCGGCCATATTTACAGAAACATAATTCAACTTCATGTACCAAAAAAGAATAATGTACCAAGACTTGGCTGTATGGTGTAAAACCTTTGCCTTTTCCTTTATGGAAAAAAAAGAGGGAGCATGCCAAAAAAGTTTTGACGTTGGCTCCGCCCAAATTTGTGAGACAATTATATGCCTGAAGTTCGCGTGACATGCGACAGGAGATGTTGAATTTTGCGCATTAAAAGCTTAGAATAATAACGCATAGAAACCTAGCCCGCACACGCTAAGTGAGGCAAGTTAGAGGGTTCCAAACGCGTCCCAGGAGCGCGCGGGCTGTTAGTGCTCAAGGTCATATTGCACCGCGAACAGCTCCAAAATTTTTTGCTAAAAATGACGAAATGTGCGGTAAATGGGTGTAAAAATACAACAGACAAACATAAAATAGACACTAACATCGCATTCCACAAGTAAGTAATGCGTTTCAACTCATATTTTTATGTAAATATTCACTAAAACAGAAAAATAATTTCGCGGCAACAAGATACGAAAGTGTTGCAAAGTAACGAATTTTTTTTCTCCCCATTTTGCTATTCTGTATCAAAATAATTATATTACGTAAATTTTAGTGGTGCCTGTAATTTCGATTTATTTGCGCATTTTGAACTAATATTTACTCGAATAAACATTAAATGTTTTCGTTAACTCCTGTAAGTGATTGGGACACTTAATTATTTTATAATACTTTTAACGGCTCTGCGTTCATGCTTTATTGAATAATTATTTATTTTAATTTTATTTGAATTGGAGCACATATTGCAACAAATTTACAGTACTTATATATTTGTTTCTACTATAGTGTTGGCACCACCAGTACAACTTTGATAGCTTATTATATGTCTTTCTTTTCGTAACTCAAGCGAAATATTTTATATTAAAATATTTTATTTTCTTAAAAGGGGAGCATTCTTAAGCGATTTTTTAATCTATTTTAACAGTTATTTTCTTTAATGTTTGCTTATGGCATTTTCGGTTTTAGGTTTCGAATATGGCACTTATTTCTAAATCCAAGATGCGGGCGCGATTTTTCGAATAATGGCAAGTTGGGTATCGTTTTCGAGATGTTTGGGAATGTTCAATACAAATATGGCACTCATTTCTAAATCCAAGATGGCAAACACGACAGTTCAAACAAAAGCAATATTCGTAATGAGCACCCCCAAATACCTCGAAAACGATACCCAACTTGCCATTATTTGAAAAATCGTGCCCGCCATCTTGGATTTACAAATAGTGCCATATTCACATTGAGCATCCCCAAATACCTCGAAAATGATACCCACATAGCATTTTTTTGAAAAAATCGTGTCCGCCATCTTGGATTTACAAATAAGTGCTATATTCGTTTTTCATCGACAAATCTGTAGGCACCTTTAACTTAATGATGAGTTAAGCAAGATACAATTTCCCCACTTTTGAGGGAAATGTTTTTCCATGGCATCATTATTTGTATATTTGTGTGCGTGCCGACGAGCGTAGTTACAAGTTGCTTACGCCTACATGAATTTGGTTTTTGCCTCACTTGTGACAGTTCGTTTGATATGAAACTATCATTCTATGCGTTATTATTCTAAGATTAAAAGTACCAAATTCGTTTTAGCGGAATAACTCTAAAACTAAAGGGATTAAAAAAAATCCGTAGTGACAGTTGTCGATCATGCATAAATATAATTAATTATCTAATTTTTGTCCTAATAACCTGTAGCATTTCGAGGATAAATCGAAAAAATGTAAAAATTAGTAAAAATGTAAAATTTCCTGATTTTTATCCATCGAGGAAACTTTATTGTTTTATGTTTCTGATTAATGTCTACGCTTGAATATATCGTGTAGTTACTCACACGATATTTTATTTTTAACTTTAAAGTGGATATACCCCTCTAAAATCAAATCGAAGATTACGAATTTTTCCTCTGCTCCCTCTTAAATAAATGGTGGGACCTTAGACAATTTTTTTTCCATCCTCTAAGGGTTGACGGAGTCTAATGATTCTATCCTTTATTAAGTCTATTCATAATTATTGTTATAACCATTACCTTCACAACGATCCCTGGATCGACAGGCACAAAACTTTAAAAAAGTTATTGCGACTATTGAAAAGACAAGTCTCTTCATTTTTTTCACAAATTTAAAATAACTGTGACTTGTACGTCTGCATAGCAAATTGTTATGGACACCACTGATAAAGTGTCTAAGGGAAATTGAAATAACTTATTATTTTCCTTGTATCCACAACTGAATATTATTCAACGATTTATCACAGTTTGTGATTCATTACGGGACTAATACTTTACTTAGCACTGTTAGTTATGCAAAACTGTCAATATTATTTACATTATTATATAAATTAATGTATTCAAGAATTAAGTGGAAGATAAAAAAACATATATCAAATTACATAAATAAATATATATAGACATATTTATGAACTATAATAGACTGTTCGAAACAACATTTTAGTACTAAATAGGTACATACTGATAATCGGCCTGTCAGTGATTTGCATAACGATGTCTGATTGTAGTTTACGACTTAACTAACTGTAACAAAAAATTAAAATAATACTTTCTTGAAGACAAAATTGTCTTCTGATAGAGCTTACTGAAACAAAAAGCTATATATTATTTTAGTAATTAGTGTTAATAATCATTTTTATCAGATATTTAAATTATTAACACTATTTTAAGAAAAAATATAATATGAGCATATTATGCTTATCATGAAGAAAAAGAACAATCAATGCATTAAAACAAAATGGTATTCTAATACAGCTTATTGAAATAAAAAGCAATATATTTTTAGTAATTAAATTACCTGAAAAGTCATGGTAGCGTAAAAGTTTGGTCTACCGCCTCTCAAGCAGAAGGTCGTGGGTTCGAATCCGGAACTAGCATCTCTGAGTTTCTCAGATTTTTGTACGAAATTTATTTTGAAAATAGGAACTCCCGCAACTGCGATCAATCTTGTAAACGCCCGGAGATTGGAATATTAGGCAGACAAAACGCGCCATAGCGGAAAGAGTCCTATTTACATTTTAGTCCATACCTATTTCTGCCGCCAAGCAGTAATAACAGCATTACTGTGTACCGGTTTTGATGGGTAAGTGTGCTGGTGAAATTACAGGCACATGGGCCTTGTCAACTTTGTCTCAGGATGACGAGCGCAGTGGCAGTACCCCTCAGACATTTATGATTTGAAGCTCTGAGTGGCAGTGCAACTGTTATGGACAGGCTTGTCGCTTACCACCAGGCCCACGACTTGTTCGTCCCGTCACTTGGTATCATATAAAAATGTACGTGTGGGTAATTTCAAGGTAAGCAATAAAACTACAAAATAAAACATAAAAATGATCGAAACATCGAGGATACATCTTTATTGCAAAAAAAAATATCGTTATCCGAGTAAATGAAAGCCATTTCGTGTGTCTTTTTAATAAAAACGTATATTTATATACAAAAATACCATCTATTTTAAACGATTAGGATAACAAGTTGCGACGAAGGTAAGAAATATACATTGAATATAACATTTCCTCAATCACGACTCATACGTCCTATGCTAGTGATATAATAATAAAATATACAAGAGTATGTAACATATATGTATATACCCTAGAGAAAACATTTTTCCGTTAGGTTTATGTTGTGCTCTATGGGGTAAATTTTGTCGTTTTAATTTTGAAGTTGTATGTTGATATATAGGCATACTATATGTTGCTATATGTTGGGTGTTTATCGAAGAAGAGCGGCTCTGGCTGTGGCTGCAGCAGCGCTGCAGTTTCCTCCGGAGATAGCGGCTCTCAAGAACTGAAAATTCATGCAAATGGTCATTAAAAATGCACTATATTAATTTTTCCATAGCTTACAACTAAGTCGATATATACAGAACACTTTTTCGAGGAGTTAATTTTCAGGTTAGTTTTCTCTGTTTAATTTCGGTGGCCATTTTTATTATTTAAGTATTCGAGCATATTATCGTGAAATATTAATAATACTTCATGATAATATTCAGAATATTTAAATAACAACAATTTTACCGAACTAAACCTAACCTGAAAAATTAATCTGAAAATTAACCGTTAACAATTCATTTTTAAGATCAAACTTAGTAGATAACACTGAAAAACTTTTACTACCGCTCCTCTATTCCTTCTGAGATCGATAAGAACAGGTTTGTACAATCAAGAGCTAGTTTTAAATTCAACTATATTCATCTTACGATAAGAGCGATCCAAAGTGTGCTATTGACTGTACTGTATTGCTGTAATTTGTATACTAAATGGGCGCAATGCAACTTTTCTAGAGGATTCCAGACCCTTTTTCGATTTGGTTCGAATCTGGCCGTATCGAAGGATTTTTTGAGTGTTCGATCTTTGTATTAATAATTATAACAAACTACTGGAGTCATTTCACTTAAAAAAATAATTGAATAACAATTCAATGAAAACTTAAATATGTTAATTTTTTATCGGTAGTTCTCATTTAGTTTTTACATTTGAGTACTAAGTAATAAATTTAAATTGCTTAGATATATAGATAATATGTAACTTTTCTACTCCGCGAACCCAGTGAAAGTGCAAAATAGAGGAGTTTTTTTCATGGAAAAAGCGGAAGAATTAAAGGCGTGGAAAAAATCAACACATGCGCAGCTATTCTCCACGATTTAACCTCACCACCATAATTTACTTCCATTTTTATCAATTTTCCTGTCTAACAACTTGGACTCCAAGTCTGCTAGTCTTCTTTAAACCACTCTTGGTTCGCGTTCAGTGGCTCTGCAGCCCCGCTGCTACTAATTTTCACACCATATTGTCGATGTTAGTAAAATGCGTTTGTTTCTACAACCGTCTATTTTAAAGTCGCCATTAGTCTCATTAGATTGTCAGTGTACTGACAATGACGGTATTCAATCACTAACGACTGATGTTACCTTACTGTAATCTCAGTACAGAATACCAAAAAAACCGGCCTCAAACTTTCGTGGAATTACATTTATTTGCCAAGTTTTATTAAAATCGGTTACCGGAAGGAGCGCAAAACCGAATTCATCCCTAGTTCGCCACTATACGGGACACAACACAGGAGATAAGAAAAATCAGTGATCACTGCTTAGAGAAAAACGCCTTCAATTGGAGCATAGCAAAATCCACCCCTTAAAATAATTGCTCTTTATAAAATTTAGGCGCTATTTATAAAAATAAGTCTTCATGCGTGAACAGCCACCGTTAGAAGTAGAATATTTTCTTTAAAATTAAATGGGACCACTACTGAGGTACCCCTTTTTCAACAAAAAAAGAATCATCAAAATCGGTTCATAAATGCCGAGTTATCGCATAACTTGCATACAAAAAAAATATACAGTCCAATTGAGAACCTCCTCCTTTTTTTGAAGTCGGTTAAAACTACCATAGAAATTACTATGCATATTTTTATTTTTATCTCGTATAATATTAGCTTTCAAAATGAAATGTTTAAAAAACTTTTTTTTTTATTTTATATTATTTTATTGTTTTTTTAAAAAATATAACTGATAATTGGCAAGCACGAAAGAAATCGAAACAAAATAATTAATAGACTACACCGTCGTCGTGACATTGAGGGTGCGTTAACTTAATTTACCTGAATTATTTCACCTAGGTGCATTAAATACACTTTTAGTAAACTTAAATCACCTGGGTGCATTAGATAAACATAAAAGAGCAGAATACCAAAAAATAGCAGTGGCTGTTGAATAAGTAACTCGATGGCTAGCCAATTTTTGCCAGAATACCAAGTATACGAAATCCTTTGTGCGCCATTGGCACGCTATCGGCACGCAACTGAGATGATTTAATATTAGCAGACTTAGATCCTTGTTTTTACCAGCTCCTACGGTTCATATTAAGTCTATGAAATAAAATAATGTGCTTCACTCACATTGGAGAGTGGCCCAACAGCATTTTGGACGATGTTGACTACTGATGGCATGGCGGCGGCCGTGGCGGCGGCTCCAACGGCGTTGCTACGTACGTTGAAGGCTTGGTAGAGGCGCTTGGCGGCACAATACTCTTCATTGAACAGTCTGGGGAATAAATAGTTACTTATTAGTTGTTCGACGCAAGTGCTTGTATTGAAACCTAAGCAAGCGAAGGAGCCTAAGATTAAAAATATAGCTAATGTATAAACGTCACCATTGCTTTTCAATCTGTACATTAATCAGCTTCTGGATGAACTCGGCAGCATGCATGTTGGTTGCTTTATTGATGATATATGCGTCAATAATATCAATTATGCTGACGACATGGTGCTGCTGGGGCCGTCTATTAATGCGCTCAGGAAATTACTCAAAGTGTGTGAGAGGTATGCAGCCAAGCATGGGCTGAAGTACAACTCAAAAAAAAGTGAACTGCTTGTTGTAAAGGCAGGTAAATGCTATCCAGATGTTGTACCATCGTTAACGCTTGGTGGCACGCCTCTTAATAGAGTTGATAGGTTTAGATATCTTGGTCACGTTATTACTGACAGCATGAAAGATGATCTAGATATTGAAAGGGAGCGCAGAGCGCTGGCTGTGAGAGGAAACATGCTGGCCCGTAGATTCACTCGTTGTACAAAAGACGTGAAAGTTATGCTTTTCAAAGCTTTTTGTCAGTCAATGTACTCGAGTAGTCTATGGGTTAGATATACACAGCGTACATACAATTCAATACGAGTACAATATAATAACATCTTCAGGATGCTGTTGGGACTGCCACGGCACTGCAGTGCATCCGGCATGTTTGCTGAAGCGCGAACAGATGACTTTTATGCCATCAGGCGTAAAAGAGTGTCATCTCTGCTAAAGCGAGTGCGTGACAGTGGCAATGGCATCCTGAGGATGTTTGCCCATCGTTTTGACTGTAAAATTTTAAAGTTTTGGGTAAATATTACAACGGGTCAAATTAAGCAATAATTGTGCATTTTCCAAATTTTAATATTTAAATTTTCTGTCAATATATTCAAAATTCAATGTAATCATACTAACATAGTTCTAAGGTTTTCTTTTGTAACTTACACTATTATCTTATGGGCTATGGCCTGAAATAAATGGTTTTATTATTATTATTATTATTATTATAAATAGCTTTTCACCTCACAATAGCGAGGAAAATGGTAGATGAAAGAAAAACAGTTAACCATAACAAATCAGTTTTAATAAACAAAATTGATTATCGTTGTCAATGTAATGTCAACAATAATAAGAATAAAATATATCTACGGATTTATATTACATAAATAATGTACGACAAATCGCGTAGTAGAACATGTTATTATGCTTTTTTTCATTTTTCAAGCCTTTCCGAGCTAAAGAGGTGAAAAAGATATTTTGTGTTTTTTTTGTATAAAACTATCCTCGATCAATATGAAGTATCATGCAAGTCATTCGAGTCTGATCTGTTTGCGACAAGCACAGCGACTGTAAGACGAACTGTAAGTTTGAATTACTTTGGACATATAATATAATACCTATATGCTCAAACTGCTTTTATAATTAAAAAGAAAATATAAATTATTTCACAGAAAATGTTCACAATTTCATATTTACCACGGAGCCCACAATAGGCAAGCCAATATATTTTACAATAGATATAAAATAAATATATACAAGGTTACTTGTAAAATACTAACTACCTAGGAGGATTATATTACTAACATCGTAAACAACAACTTTTGTTCCATGTCTTTTTACAAAACGTAATAAATTCTACAAAAATAAACTTTTAAATTTTTGTGGTACTGTATTATCTGACACTTTTTAGAGCTGTATTGTACTTACTTAACTTGTTTAGCAACGCCTCTCGGGTGATTTCTTTTGTTACCGCATAGGCTTATAACCATTTAGAATGATTTTTTTTCATTCATTTATCTTTGTACGAAAGTAAAATCTGATTAAAAGTTATCGAACAAAAGTTGTTGTTTACGATGTTTGTAATACAGTCCTGCGAGGTTGTTAGTTTTTTAAACCATAAAAATGTAAGACCAGCATTTTATGGTTTGTAATTTTGATATTGAAATGTGGAGGTTTGTAATAAGCTTTTTAGTATTAATTAGTTTACATAATAAAATAAGTGAAATAAAATCAAATAAAGTGCATTATGTGCTCTGTTACATTAATAACGGTTTAATTTGTAAATCCAGTAACTCATAATGGTAATGTTAGTACACAATATTTGGCTTTAACTCAATTTTTATTTCAAATATATTTGAACAATAATTTTAAAAGAATTCATATAAAAATAGAATATTATTTTCTAGTTGCTTGTATCCACACAAGACACTCGGCGCGGCGCCTTAAGGTAAGACGTTTTCGGTCATTCTCGGACTATAATCCATTTGTTTAGGTATTAATATATGATATGTTATATATGTCTATTCAATGAAATACACATTTATAAAATGATTTTTACTTACCTTCAATTACAAAATACAAATACTTTAGCTCCATAAGAAATTGCATGCCTATTTTTATACCTATTGATTTCTAAAGCATATTATGTTTCAATAAAAAGATGTACAAGATTGTTTACATTATGTTAAGTACTTAAACAAATGGACTATAGTCCGAGCATAACCGAAAACATCTTTCCTTAAGGCACCGCGACGTGTGTCTTGTGTTCACTACCTAATTTCCGTGGCAATTTTTATTATTTAAATATTCAAGTATATTATCGCATAATTATCCAATAATATTTCACGATACAATATTCGAATACTTAAATAATAAAAAATACTACCGAAATTAGGTAGTGAACACTAGTTCGAGAATGACCGTTTTTGTTGGTTCATGCCTGGGAGAACTGGATAGTTCCCTCGTAATTAATTTCGTGTTATTGGTACTTATTATAGTACAGGTTATTTACTAGTTCACGACCTGATAATTGGTGTGATTGTCTGGCATACCATTAGGCCATCATAATTAAATATGTCTGTTGTATAAGTGTAAGTTTGTTAAAATAAAACGGATACTGTGAGTGATATTTACCCAACGGTGTAAGGGCTGGCATTGTTCAGGATAATTTCCCAAGCATCTTCGAATCGGTAGACTCTGCCGTATCCTGGGCAGCTTCCCTCTAGACCGAACTGAAAAACATAAATAAATTCAGAGTGAGCAGGCACCGTTTAGGTGAACGTGTACACGCGTGAACGTGTTTACGTGTGAACGTGCACGAACTCTCGTTCACGTTTTCACTCGCAGGTGATCACAATAAATAATATTGGGAGGTAAGGTAGATGGAATTTTAATCAATCGCATGACTACTGTTAAGTGGTTTTATAGGGGTAAGTACAAACTCTTCGCCCAGAAGGTTTGGTAAAAAGGGTGAATACGCACTTAACGAAAAACAAAATGACAATATATATTGAAAACCAAAATAAAGTATCTCTTGATAAATGGGTAAAAGCTATAAAATGAGAAAAAGCTAATGAACTCCTCAACTCGTCCAATATTTAATAGTACACGTTCTTACTAATTTTGCGTCTATTTTAAGATTGCTTTATAATATCTAGTGACGGGACGAACAAGTCGTGCGCCTGGTGGTAAGCTACACGCCTGTCCATAACAGTTGCAGTGCCACTCAGAGCTTTAAATCGCAAAGATCTGCCACTGCGCCCTTCAACCTGAGACATAAGTTAACAAGTCCCATGTGCCTGTAATTTCACCAAAGTTCTTTAGAGTCTATGTTTGCTTTTGTTATATATTTATTAAATATTGAACTACTTATATAAGTTGAAAATGTTTATAACATGTTCGACAAAATACCTGTTTACCTTCATGCATATAAATAAATTAGTATATAAATAAATTAGCAACTGTATATATATTATATGTATCATCTATCGTACAACTTAATACAATCAATCTTCATTCAATATGAGAATTGTGAAAAGATCAAAAACAAAAGAGCATCGAATATAGAGCTAGAAAAATGATTAATGACCGGGGTGATTAATATGAGTGCATAATTGCATTGAACTAACTTGTTGATTTTTATGCAATTTCCATCTTTATTCTGGTATTCGAATTTGACATGAAATGTTGATATAAAATGCTGACTTTTGATATCAGTGTTCGCATTTAGTGAATGATCGTGGAACGTTTTGGGTCATTATCGGGGTAGTGTTTTTTGACTAATTTCCGTGGTAATTTTTATTATTTAAGTATCAAGTATATTAACATGAAAAATTAAATTCAAAATTCATCTTCGAATATTATATAATATTTCACGATGCCGTATTTTCGTTCACAGACGCATCAATGTGATCTTAAATCTAAACAAGAGAAATTCGGAAAGAAGGTCGGAATAAGAAAAAAGGTCGGAGACACGTCGGAGAAGATAATCAGTTGGCGCTTATTGATTTCATCTTATTTAGAAATTCGAAAAAGAAGCGAATCTAGGCTCAAGCCTGGGTCCATCAAACCGTCGAATGGGCCTCAAGACCCATTCGACGTTTACTTAGTATTTTAAAGGCAAAATAGTAGGTTATATTTGAAATGGTTTAACGGCTATACGAAAGATATGATGAAGATGGTATGAAGACGCATTTATGCCAATAAATGCGTTAAAAAAAATTGATTTTTTCATGACTATCTCATCTCTGGTACACACAGTTGAATTTTATTCACATTTTTATCCACGTTTCAGATCTAATAACAATTTATATATGTGACAATTACTTACAGTATTACGCACGGAGTTAGGGTTGACAGCTAGTTTAGCAATGACGTCAACGTAGCTTGCAAGACGGGAAGCGTATGCGCGGGCTGCAGCAGCTTCGCCATTGCCACTTGCGGCCGCGTTGATCACCTGCGTGGTAATAGAGGCTTAAGATGTTTCAGCAGTCCTTTCATTTTAAGGAAGCATTTGATACAGCAGTAACTATAATCATGTGATTCGGCTTACAGCAGCGGCATCACAAGAGAATCCAGTGAAACCTGTGCCAAGTGCGCCAAGGACGGAGATTGTTTGAGCGAGTGCGACGGCTTGAGTTCGTGGGTCTGGCTGGTTTGCGAGATCGTTCAAGATCTGCTGCAAGGTCAGGATGTAGATGTTTGTGTCACCACCGTCGATGAGCTCGAACGCTCGATCGGTCAGGTAACTGAAATAAAGTTTTGGTTATTTTTTATCATAAGTAAATGTTTTATAATTATAAAATACTAATAATAACACTCGAACCTATAGCCCCGCACTGGGAAGATCCAGTATCGTGAGTGCCATGAACACACACATAGATAACCACAATTTACACCCAAACTCACGAGAGAAATAAATGTAGGCCGTACAAAAATTTCTCCCGGCTCGGGAATCGAACCCGGGACCTGTGCGTGGTAGTTGGAAACCGTTCGGCCACAGAGGTAGTTAAAAGATTTGTATAAGGGAAATAAAATGATTTTTTCTTTTATTCTTATTAAATCCTATTCTATTTTGCGATACTAAACTACCCATTTAAAGGATTGTAGTTAGCTATCTAATGCTCTGCGTATTACGTAGTACACACGTGGTGTGCTTGTTCTTAAAATAATTATCCTGCATGGCAATTATGGCTGACGTATAAATGGGAGTGCATAAGGCAAATGTCCGTTATTCTAATGCTTATTAAGATTGTTTAATAATATTGAACAAGAGTAGGTATTGCGCGGTTACACCACTCACAATACAAGACTAATCACTGTCTTCACTCCGTCCATTAATAGCATTACAAGTTACGATGCAATCATTCCACCGTAATATGAATTGCAGGGAGAAACGTAGCTAAGAAAGAATTAAAGTCTATAGCACACACACCAGCACATCAAGCTATACATTGACGTATCTTGTTCCGTTGCACTGGACGTGATTTACGAACAAAAATGTGTAGTTTGATGTGAAGTTGTCCGTACTTCAGCTCGAATAAAAACGTTACCGTACTAATAATACGTTTCATTTTCCTTGGGCCCGAGCGGTAGGGAAACCGGTTTATTTCATAATAATTTTTTTTACATACGGAAGTAAAGTCATTTGAAAAATGTATATCGTATAATATACGTGTCCCATTCAGTTCAGTTGATATTTAAAAAAATATTGCTGTATGTTGAGTACCTATTGAATACAGCGGTTTTTTTTCATAAACATTCGAGGTAAGTTTGGGCTTTTTTTTCTATCGTTATAATTTTTAGGAATTATGTTTTCACACCGTATAGTAATCAGTGCATATCTTTAATTTTACTGTATATTTTTTCCAAAGTGATTCATTTAATTCACTTTCAATGTTATGCGGAATCAACCAAAGCCATTTGAGGTCGTATAGACTTTTAACTCGTGTGATTTGTTATTGGTAGTTTTTGTAGCTATCACACGTAATGTCGATGACTTTGCAGTTATCATATAGAAAAAGAGCGGCTTCCCTCGTGCATAGAGTTCGTGGCAGCGACAACAGCCTCCTGAGTATAATTGCAAACAGGGTCTAGGGTTCTTTTCATGAGCACTGCTTCCGGTAGCATATTAGTTTTAGAAAAAAATGTTATTTGTGGTACTAACTTTAAAAGTGTTTTGTTACTAACCTTTATGGATGAATATTCCGACATAAAGATATGTAGTAGTAAGTAGTTTTTTACAGATATACAAGAATTTGTTATACTGAACTGACCAAAATCCATTTTTTTCTACGGTATGATTACGATACTCACCTGGAGACTAGAGCACCATTGTCTAGGAGCGGGGCAATGTCGTTAATGTTGCTGGTTGTCACTGATACAGATGGAGCAGCTAAGGCGCTCTGCCAACAACATACAACCATGTCTTAAGACAATTGAAGCCATCTGCAGCATGCAAGCTTTTACCGTTTATCTATCTCACTCCTAGATATAGGAAAAGTATATCTATGGTCTCAGTACGCATAATTCCCATCGCTTAAAGTACATATGACTGTTTTCGACATTTATGTTTGGATTATTATACCAATGTACCTGCAAAATAGGTTTGAGTTTGAAATCGTGTAACACGAGTGTCTTGCATAAGAAGACGGTCATCTTATTAACTGCCACCCGAGATTGCTACAAATATACGTCATCTAAAATATTGTGGTTTCATTTAGAGGGTGTCTTGATCTTTGTCGATATTCAGGCTAATATGTTCACAATAGCTATTTGAAAGCAATCCCGGAATGCAAGTTTCTAAAATGTTGTGTTATTTTCGAATATTATCGATTTTTTTGGTCTTTAATTCTCAATTAGGCTCAGGCGTGTGTGTTAATTTTTGGTGTTGCAGATTATCAACGAGATTTATGTATGCGATATTCAAACAAAAGTGTACAGTTTGATGTGCTGTTGACTGTACTACTCAATAATCTTCTATAGCTATATGTTGAGTGTGTGCGTTATATTATATATAACTAAGTCATAGACCAATATATGAATTTTGATAATGAAATTATTATTCATAGGAAATGAAACTATTTTTCCGGATTTAAATAGCGTATATTATAACGTATATAGCATATATATTAAATAGCGTACATGGGACCTGTACAGGGCCCGAAACGTCGGTTTGTTTGAAAAAACAAATATACACGATTTAAATCCGGAAAAATAGTTTCATTTCCTATGTGTAACAATCGCGAAAACTTAAGAACTCGAAATTATTATTCGCTTGACTTTCGGATCTAGCTGACAGTCAGTCGTTACCATGACAAGGCCACTAAAGGACCTGAAAAGTTATTTGTTTGATAAAACAAAATACACGCGACCCAAAAAATGACGTTTCAATTTCCAATCTGTAACAAAAAAACTTACGCGACAATATATGAATATTTATTTCATTATAGATTTGTATTTTCAATTTTTTCATTGTATTGCGCGTCAAATAAAGTAATTTATATTATCATTTGTTTAAATCGAGCGTTTAAAGTTTATATTTGAGATACGTCAGAGATGATTTTATCCATGCAAACAAATAATTTATGTCAAAAAATGACAACAGTATTGAAAAAGTTTCTGTAATTAAAAACGTTTAAATGGTTACGTTACGTACGTTATTTATTTTATAATAAATTTGTTTAAGTAAATCTTAGGAAAAATGGAATTAAAGCTTCTTCTTCTTCTTATTGCACGGATGGCATGCACTATAAATTACCATTACCTGTGACTGTGGATTATCGATTACAGAGTAAACCATATTTTATTTTGTTTAGAGATATTTATGAAACGGTCTAAGGTATTGAGCGAGTCGAACTTCGGTCACACAAAGCATATGACGAATAAAGTAAGTCCCAAAGGGTGAGTGACGTAACAAGCGCTGTAAATTGGCAAGAGCTCGAACGCTGAATCCCCTCAGTGAGTTTTGAAAACCGCTTCCAGGTCGACAGTACAATTACCGAGGGACCACATTTCCATGATGTTATAGTTTTTAATAATAGATATAACATTTCTGAGTAACCCGTACCGTGATGAAATCTGTATTTCAAGCTATGTTAGGTCTCGAATCGTTCCGAATCGACATTGAGGATTATTGCTTAAATCCTCTCCTTGGAGGAGGTCACTGCCCAGCAATAGCAATAGGACGTAAGTGTTTGCATTGATTGATAAAATAAGTATACTCGATAATGCCTCGATAAAGTTATTATATGTATCTACATTTAGTTGTCGAATTTGATTGATAAACGGGAATTTTAAAATTTTATCACAAAAACGAACATGGCGAGTACCGTGACGTCACATTTTTATGTCATCGCGAGCGCCGGCGACCAATGACTGCTAAAGATTAACACAGTGCCAAACATGGCTGCAAGGTCACAACTGATTTTTAAACATTTGCACAGTAATTTTATTAATGTAAAAATTGAGCGCGACAAACGAGATGAAAAGATATTTTTTGTTTCATGGTTTTCGTGACGATGATTAAACGATAAAGATATACGCTATACGCTATATGCGCAATTTTATGTCTTTGTCCTTGTTCGTCAAAATGGGTAACAATAGTTCATTACCAAATAAGCAAACTTAGATTTATCAACTGAATTAAATATTGTCACTGCGAGGTTTATCACACATATTCTGCCATACTACGGCTACTGGGCATCAAGAAATATAATCATGCTCACCAAATTCCGTTTTGGACTTTCACAAGTTTTAGAATATTTTTTGTATGTCTAACCGGTCTTCTCACGGTACAAGATGCCAGATGGCGTAGGGTATTATTGGTGTCGGGCTAAGTCGGGTTATATCGGTTAATGTCAGATGGTGTCAGGTGGCGTCGGACGGTGTCTTGTGAGATCAGGTGGTATCAGGAGATGTCAAGTGGTATCAGGTGTGGTATTGTATGGCTTGGTGTCTGGTGGTATCCGGTGAGGTCGGGTGTTGAAAGATGATGTCAGGTGGGTCTTATGGAGATGGATATATATCGCAACACACCACAGTACTGCTCATTTTAACTTCAAAGAAGCATTACTGGGCTCCAAGTTAAAGGTTAGGGGAGACCTACGGCGACGGCTACTAGCACCCGATTACGCATTTAAGGTATCAGTAAACTTCCTTACTATCGCATTAAATAACTTTATATTGAGATCATTCCTTTCTGTTAGGTGGATCAATCGATTTGAACACCAAAATTAGAAATTAGAAATTATGAATCTAGGCCTTACGTGTAATGTCTTATTAGATTAATTTAGTCAAAGTGCAGCATAGTTCCGCAGCTGCCTGTCAGATGTTAATCCGCGGGATAAGTTCAATTTTCCGCTAGTACGTCAATTTTGGTTGTCCACTGTATAACATCACAATGTTTTACGTCAGACGAAAATGTTCAAGCCTACACTCAGCCAAAATTCGATATAGAATGTTTAATAACAATACATTGCTATACAACCAATGATGGCAGGTGTAAAGAACATATTTTGTCTATGTTCATTATTTAGACTAGCTCTGCCCACGACCTGGGGCTCAATTTGCTAATTTTCTTAAAACCACCCGTCATTGTAATTCTGTTGAGACTACACCGAGATTATATTGCAATAATTATTATATTGTATTTGTTATTCAGCAAAAAATTTAGTCGCAGTTGAATCTGATTACAGTGTCAGTGGAATGGCACTGATATCATTAATTCATTCGATTAGTAACGATCGGCGTTGCCTTTTTAAACTACTATGGAAATTTCCATGCATATCTAAATTTCAGTCTCAAATTTAGTCTTCAAATTAAATATATATAATTTAGTAGACTGCACTATTGACGTGCTATTTGAGAGCAGAATACCAAAACATTGCAATAGCAGTTGAACAGTAGCTCAATGGCATCGAGTATATAACCAGAAATAGAGACGAAATGTCATTTAATTTGTATGAAAACTATTCTGCCAAATCATTACGGCGGCAACTGCGCACCGGTTGGCCAGCCCGAATTCGGAACAATTGACGGTTGTCGTCAACTAACTTTAACTTTTGGCAGTAACTTTTAGCAGAATAACAAACGTCCTGCTTTGACACTCTATCGATATACAACTGAGATGATTTGAAATTAGTACACTTGGGGCATTGCTCGCGTAATTGGTATTTAAATGGGTAAGTAGGTAACTGGATTATAGAAATAATACTTGCCTAGACAATTAATATAAAGTTTGCAAAGCACCTATTACGTATATACGTTTGATTTACAAATAAAGTAATTAAGTTTTTATTTTTACTTATAGTTAATTGTTTTTTTTTTACAAAAGTAACGACATTTTCCCTAGACTGTTAGTTAATACAAGAGTAAAACCGATGTAAATGTAATTTAGACGTTTGAAAAATCTGTTTTTACAACCGGTCCCGTCAACATCGTCATGTTACTTTAAGAAAACTACTATGTAGATATAAAATCAAGCGCCTTTCATACGAAAATATGCAATGGCGGCCTTATACGTTATGCAAATAAAATGCGTCACTATTTGATATTGTATATAATTTTAGATTTTTTGGGATTGTCCACAAAAAAGCTCAAAATATCGAAATCGTCAATTTGTACTCAGTGGTTTACGACTGTAAAGGCTCGAAACGTTGGTTTGTTTGAAAAAAAAAACAAATATATACACGATTTAGATCCGAAAAAATAGTTTCATTTCCTAGTGGTCGAATATTCGGATGCTTTTACACCTCAAGTTTTTTTCGTTATCAAACTAAGGAAGCGGCGTTTTAAAATATAATTTTTCTTCTTTTGAATCCCGGTAGAAAGTAATGTGTTACGATTCCTATATAATTTGAATATATAAGATTTTGACTAATTTTAAACCTTAAAGGTCTGATGGTGATCAAAAATTTGACTACTTAATTGCAGTGCTATGAACAGCTAGAAGTGTTAAATTTAAACTTAAACGGTGGTACAACGGTTTCGGTAAAAAAATATTTGACACTGCTAAATTTTTTTCTCGACGGCCGAAGTTTTCACATTTTTCACTTTCAATATGTGATAAAAATTATTGAAATGATACATAAAATCACGAATAATATTTTAAATATACATTTTCATTTAATTTTATACTTAATAATTTCGTCAATCTCGAAGTCGCGGGAATTTTTCGATGCAATAGCGTATTCTATTAGCAAGCGCAAAGAATTATAGATAAATAGGCATGCGATGGTTGGATAGACAACAATTTACAACATTAAAATAGTAAATATATATATTAAAATAGTAATTTTGCGTGCTTTATTTAGCGTCGCCTTTTTATTCGTAAGCGAAAATATAACGGTATAAATTACGTAACAGGAATATTCTACTTAAATCATATCCACCCTTGTCCCATGAGACCGTCATATGCAAAGCGCGATTTCAATATCACCGCCTGCGGCTGACACCAACGTACCTACGGCGTACCTGTCGGTGTACTCGGCCCACCGTGCTTTATTTACGTGTAAATTCAACGACTCCATTCCCAATTCTTTGCTGAACGTTAACATACCCATACTGGAGATTTATGAGTTCAGCTAAACCAGTTGAACTGTTGGATATTTTCTCTACTGTTGGTTAAATAAAAAAAATAATTGCCGGTTAGAACACTATAAAAAGCCGTGGTAGCTTTTTGGTTTCATCAACCGCCTCTAAGTTTTAAGAATTTATGTGCGTAATTTAATTTGAAATGACCATGAGCTTTCCGGTGAAGTAAAATATTGTCTGGGGTAAAAAGCACGTATCTGAACTAAACCAAATTTTGCAGGAGAGAGATTTAACGTTATCACTTAGTTATTTCAATAGCTACGACTTTCATTTTTGCACACTAAGCATTAATTTTTGTTGTCTACCGACTAATAACAATAGATTTCCGTAAATCACGCTAATTTGGTTGCCACGACATTTACGCGGATTTGATTTACTCGTAATTGCGCTGTCCCCGACGATATCGCTATGAAACCTGCACGTCGAAGATGGTTTACAATCCTTGGTAAACGTGTGAAGTCCCCAACCCGACTTTTGTGGCGGAAGTTCGAGTGATATGCGTAACTGAATGTTGCCAGTTCGTTTAACTCTGATACGTACAACACTCATCGAGTATATAACCGGAAATAGAGACAAAATGTCATTTAATTTGTTTAAAAACTATTCTGCCATATACATTACTGTGACAACTGCGCTCCGATTGACCAGCCCCAATTCGCAATAATTGACGGGTGTCGTTAATTGTTTCACTTTAAATCGACCAGTTAGCTTGAGCTTTGCTATAAAGGGCGAAAATTGCAAAATTTCATGTTTAATATTTAATTACCGATGAAATCTGATTCCGTTTCTTTTGAAATTCGATGTTTTGCTGTTTTTCCCCACACCACCGAATGGAACAGCACGCTATTGTTAGATATATTATCTTTATTACAATAAATACAGAATATTTTTGAAATATACGGAGACGTACATACAGGTCAGTTGTTGGCGCTGTCTATATTTCAGTGCAAACGATAGTTGATATTTATAAGTGATGTATCACTGATGAGTTACCAGGAGTGTATGGCCCTTATTTCGTCTCTATTTCTGATAATATACTCGTTGGTAACACTTAACGACACTTGTATTGTCAGGATAATGAAATAGTACCGTTTCCATAAAAATTGTATTTTGAAATATTTAGTAAAGCGACTAAATTAGTTTGGTAAACTATTGACCTAAGAGTATTAGAAGTCCGGAGTAGTTAATTTGAATGAAAGTACGTGTTTGGAGCCTTCGTTCCATGTTCGAGCAATGATAAGACCAATTAAACGAACTAAAACGCAACACTACTCGATTTTAAGGGCTCATCATCAAGAGAGGGCGTGGCCCCAGTTAGTGGCGTCGCTCTTCTTAACTTACATGTATATAAATCGCTATAATTTGGGGCCCTAACTATCTAAATATTATTATACATCCCTAAGTTAGAGTTAGGGTCCCTATATGGCTAGTGGTAGTATTTTGTTGTTCCGAATAATGTTATTTATAAATAAATATCAAGATAAGTTATCAATGATAATTATCACTTCAAACCCTGTTGTAAAAATGGTGCGGTAATCGCGTTTATTCAGGAATGCACCGGATGTATTTATTATATTTATTAGGAAGCTATTGAAATATAATATAATACATTGGAAATAAAACTATTTCTCCGGATCTAAATCGCTATGACCATGAGATTTAAAAAGGTTCCGAAACGTTTGTTTGAAAAAACAAGTAACTATACGCGATACAATTTTTTGTATCACATCCAACTATTTCTCGTGTGAACTGACGTTATAAAACCATGCTTTCTTTAGGTACGCCAAAAGGCAAATATACTTACTAACGATTTAGGAAACAATTGGAAATTGCTCAACGCCATCTAACGGTCTAAGTGAACATGAGGACATTCCATATTCTAACACTGTTGAATATACATAAGTTTGAATAATTATAACTTTATTATAAAAAAAGTCAACCTCAAAAATTCGTGAAATTACATTTTTTTTATACGTGACAGATGAGTCGATGTAAAATGGAAAATGGAATCCAAATTTGAAGGAAGCTAGTGCAGTGTTGATATAACCACTACCCTTGCCACCTCCACACTGCACGCCTACAAGATGCCACTTCACGCTTCGTTTGAAGGACCCCATATCGCAATACGGAAGGAATACGTGCCCTGGAAGGGAGTTCTATTTCTCAACTGTGCGACACAGGAAGGTGCCACCTTTTACGTCTCGATGGATACGGCTAGTTGTAAAACGGTGACTACGAAGGCCAGCACGCCAAGCGATTTCCCAACTTTTATTGAAATAGGTTACTGGAAAGTGCACAAAACCGGATTCATTCTCTAGTTTGCCACTTTAGAGGTGAAATATTTTTTTCAAATTTAAATGGGACCAATACTGAGGTACCCTCTTTCCAACAAAAAAAGAATCATCAAAATCGGTTCACAAAAAAATTCATTCGAACCTCTTCCGTTTTATTAAGTCCGTTTTAGGAAGTGTTGCTATGTATTTCTTTTTTAATTTTTATGCGTTTTATTGCTGTGGAAAGAATGGAAACTGGTTTTCGGAATTTTTATATTATACTTTTTTCCGTTCTTATTTGTCTATTTTAATTATTTTTACTGCTCAATATGGCATTAAATAGAGGAGCTAGAACACTAAATGCTCAATGTAGAAAAAAAAATGTACATTTTAAAAATACGAATTAAAGGCAAAACATTCGGTCGAGTGTCTCACCCAGGGGCATTTTGAGCGAGAGCTTGACAACATTTTTTCTTTAGATAGCTAAGCTTATTCCATTGCGGAAGTAGCTGCCGGCAAACTATAAGGTGCAGTTCTACCTGTGATCTCCAGGGTCCCTGGGCACAAGACACTGACTGTTGTTGACGTATTTGAGCTTATCATTTAATTAATATTGCAGTTTAAAGTTTATTTTGTTTTTAACGGATTTCAGAATAAAGGAGGAGGTTGTCGGTTCGACAGTATTTTTGGTTTTTTTTTGTATATATGTTACGCGATTTGTGAACCGGTTTCGACGATTTTTTTGAGTTCCACAAACTTTTGAGATTGGTTTTTTTATATATAAAAAAGTTATTTCAAATCGTTGCCGAGGATTGAGTAAATATCTTTTTGGTCGATTTTTTTTCATTACATAACATAAGTACACAAATTATATAACACGTTTAAATAAAGCCAATTAACCAAAAAACGTTAAGCACACAAAATTAAGTCACACAAATACAAAATTAAAAAGTATCTTACCGAAGCGGCAAACAATACCAAAACGAGAGGCAGCATCGTGCTGGTCCTTATGTGACCAACTCGGTATATACTATACACAAGATAGAATATAAGGCACTTCTATTTATACATATTTCTAACAATAAACGAATTAAACCGCGATATATATCACTTGTTCAAATATTGTTCTTCATTCGAACAATTTAATTATCTGCAATTATTTCAACTATTCGATTTGTAATTTATAACAATTATAAAGTTCTTAAAACGTTGTTACTAAGGTATAAATTTCTTTGATTAAAAAGTTTATACAACCGCAAATGTGTCATTGCAGCAGGAAGGTTTTGAACAAAAACGAATAATTGATTTGTCTAAGTGTTTGTTCTGTGGCGAGCATTAAAGTAAATTGTTTTATTTCACACAATGTGAAATTAAGATATTTTCTTTTCATTAGACGTCATCTGTTATGTACATTTGCGTTGCAGGATTGTTCTAAGTGTCGGTGTAGACGGGTTTAAGTTATTTTACGTTATTTTACGTCTAAAGACCTATATAAAACAGACCGTGAAAAAGCTCATTATACGGTTCTAAGATGTCTCTTTTCTGACCTAACATGTAGAGGATTACAATCGTAGGTAACAAAACGCTTGAGTTGTGCCATTTCTTTGTCTGATTTGGTTTTATATCCTATTAGTGGACTAATATACCAGACTAATTACATTTAATTAAAAACATCGCAAATCATTTGAATAATATTGAATGGGTATATTGAATAGGTATGATGGCACTAGCATGCTCACATTACTGTTTGGGAGAAGTATTTCTATCATCTTATAACAATTACTGCGTTCCGGTTTGGAAGGGTAAGGGTGGTGAAGTTACAGGCACATGGGACTTGTCGACTTATGTTTCATGGTGACGGGTGCAAAGGCAGTCTCAGATCTTTGCGATTACATATAAAGCTCAAAGCTACTGCAACTGTTATGGACAAGCGTATCGCTTACTATCAGGCCCACGATTTACTCGTCGAGTCCCTTGGTGTCATAAAAGATGAAAAAAATCGGAAGGGGCTACGTCGGGTAAATACGGTCAGTGCGCCATCACTCTCATAAGTGCCTACCGCTGAGTGTATCACCGACAATGCAAGCGCTCTGACAAGTCTTCTATTTACAATATAATTCTGCCGTTCGTTAACTAAAAAGCGACTATGCGACGTAATATTTTTTTGAGATATCATAAAAAACCATAACCCAGTTTTAGAATATTGAAATTTGTTTAATGATATTCCAGCTATGCATCGTTCAACTTATCGAACCTTAGTTCGATAAGTTGAACACGTTAACTAATATTGACTGTTTTTATTAACCGACTTCAAAAAAGGAGGAGGTTCTCAATTCGACTGTATGTTTTTTTGTATGTATGTTACGCGATAACTCCGGTATTTGTGAACTGATTTTCATGATTCTTTTTTTGTTGGAAGAAAATCATCCACCTCTAAGGGTAGCTGTTCACGCATGAAGATTCATTTTTTATAAATAGCGCCTAAATTTTACTTAAGGAGCAATTATTTTAATGGTTGATTTTGCTATTTCTCCAATCAAGGCGTTTTTCTCTCAATATACTTTGAGTAGTGAGAACCGATTTTTATTATCTTCGGTGTCAAGTCCTGTATAGTGGCGAACTAGGTGATATTTTAATAAAACTTAGCAAATAGACGTAATTCCACTTACTTTTCAGGTCGGCTTTTTTAGTACTCTGTGCTGAGATTATTAAAAGAGAATTTAGTGCTCTATCTTTTGTTATTTAAAACGGATATTTGTGACCATTGGTCACTTAGCCGCGATTTAGTTAGTGGACGGCAGAATTCTTATACAACCCCAGCATTCGGTTCCGCACGACTGCACACGGCGGGCAACGTTATTTTCACCTGTCTTAGCGCGTGCTTAGGTTTTTTCCTCATAGTAGGCGCCTAGTGTCTTTTAGTCAGATTTAGTAGGCTCGTCCCGTCACTAGGTATCATAAAATAAATCAAGTATTCAATGAATATTAACTACGGCTGACGTAACATGGAGTCTGTCGGAATACTGCTCTTAAATTTAGGTGAATTTTTAGTAAATAAACCAAGTCGTTCTGCTAAATACCAGCCAAAGGTCACACCACCTTCCGGCTACCGTAAACGTCAACACACATGTCATGTTCAGGTTTACGACTTGCATCCGGCAGATTTTATAGTTGCGGGGCAGTAAACGGTTTTAACGGTAAGAGGAAAATCTTTTAAGGTATCTATCTATACGAACCTAGGTCCAATATTTGCTGTGGGGTTGATTTTAGAATTCGAAATAAAACATCGAAAAATAAACGACGTCAACAAGTATCTATCCTACCACTTCTTTAGTTTCTTATTTTATTCCTCTTGTTGTAGGATTTTAGTGTAAATAAATATGTATATATATATATATATATATATATATATATATGTATATGTATATATATATATATATATTATAACTTTTTATATATATAAGTTTTTGGACGGAATCTCTTTTTTACTCTTCAAACGCAATATCGGGCAATTAAAGTTATAATATAATGTCTCACAAATGGCGCTACGGCGGTTATTCAACAAACATTCGTCGTGATACTTAAGTGTATTATTTACGCTCGAGTTTGTGAGCGATATGAATTTGGTCATAATGTTTAGAATATATATTTATTTTTGTAAATGTTGACAGCTCTTATCATAAGTAAGTCGGAGTTATAATTATTAAGACAAAGGTCATAGATTTCTCACAGATGGCGCTAAAGTCGTTGAAAATCAAAATCAATGATCTGCAAGAAGCACATAGAAAAATTCTAAAGGTCTGCTGGTTTGTTCCGTGGCTTAATTGGCAGTGCATCTGGCACGGTATGCCTGAGGGTGCTGGTTCGAAACCATCCGGGTCGATTGAATTTTTGGAAGTGTTCGATATTTATTATTAATAGTTAACAAACTAGTGGCGTATTTTCACAAAACAAGTTGGATATCGTCGCCTTACTTTCTCAATCTCGCATCTTATAGCACAAAATTATTGAAATGCAAAAAATGGGTTGTATACCTATAGCTATTTTCCAGGCTGATTTCACCTTGCATTTCTAGAAACTATACTAAATAAATATAAGCAAAAACAGTTCCCTACTGATAAAAATACAATAGCAAAATACAGCATTGACAACACTAAAGAACTAAACGATATTGTACTGTACACACACACACAATGCACATTATAGAAGCATTGTAATATTACGCAAATTAGATTACTTTATGTACTTTAGTAATAAAAAAATGAATTAGATAATACCTTCTTAACGGTCGCACGGTTTGTGTTAAACAAATCAAAATCGTAAAGAGCAGAAAGTTTGTTAAAATTATTGCTCGCACGCCATATAAACGAAATCACCCTTTATAAGATACGAATTTGAGAAAGTATGGCGAAGAAATATAATTACTAGATCTTTTTTAGTTACAAAATAAAGGTATACCTAATCATAGATTGTCGCATAATTATCTCTAGTAATTCCATATTTCTTGGGTCTAATGTAGAGTTCGTATTAATAGAGGTTTCGAGGTTTACATATTTAGCTGACGTTATTAAAGATAGGATTTCAAAGTATGTAACGAACTGCATTCTGTTCAAAAGACCTAGTAGATATTACTGTACTGCGATATTGATAATTAACGCCGGTTTTCACAAAAGTCAATAAACTTTAAGATTTATTCCCATTGGATTCTCTAAAACCGATCCCCTGAGGGATCCGTTTTATTTCAAATTATTTTCTATTCCCATCGGATCCCCAACGCAGTGGATCTTAATATTTTATTCCCACCTGATACCCTGGTACTCCCAAGTTTATTTTTGGTAGGTACTGTCGTACAGTCAACAAGAAAATGTATCTATCATATTTTATATGTGATAATCGTAACATTAAATTAGATTTTAATTATTGCTCAAGACTGATTTATGTTACTTGTGATTTGCAATATGCGAACATTAATGACCTGCCACAAAAAAAATTGATTGTCTGTGATAATTGTAACATTTGATCATAATTTCTCAATAAATGAATATTTCATGTCAAAACTTCTTTTTCTCTTGACTGTATTTTTCTTACAAATACAATGGCGGGAACCGTTGGGAGTTGCAAAATATAGAGGGGACCAGTTGCAATTTTGAATTGGCGATGGATCAGTTTTGAGGATCAGGTGGGAACAAATCAACTTTAATACTCCTCAGCATGCTGTTTCTTGTTTAACTTTGATATAGTAAAGCACGTTGTTATACTTAAAAATAAAGTACTCGTGGTATAAAAATTGTAATAAACTATTCCAAATATTTTATATTTCATTTGCATAAAGGTTTTTTATAATAAAATATAATAAGAGTGCATTTGACTTCCATCTCACCTAGTAGAAAGTGACGATGAGGTCGACAGTGTACATGCACACTTAAATAATGCCTATTCACTCTCGCCTTGAAAAGGCCCACCTTATAATACAAAGCCACATAAGTAACATTTTCCACTAAAACCCACAACATTTTGTAGCAGTGTTATAATCAATCAAGTCCAGCACCTTTCTAGAGGTAATGTAATAATAAAAACAGCTACAAACTATTATGTGTAAAAAACCTATACATAGTTACATAGCTGTGCTGGTAAAAACTACATAAATGACATTTTTCACAAAAAGTGTTTTTTTGTGAAACATGTCATTTATGCAGTTTTGCTTTTAAGCAGACGATTTGATACCCTCTGTATAATGTTTTACATAAGTAAAAAATGTTTTTATTACATGAAAGTCGTAAAAATAATACGAATTACATGAAATAAATGCGTTTGTGAAATTTTATAACTCCTATTTAAGCATATAAAAATTAGCGACTAATTTCTTTCGTAGAATCTTTAAACTTTCCTCCTAAGTTGTCATTTTGCACATGTGACCTTATTTCATCAAGGGTGCGAATTTATGATAAGGTATACTAGGGATCATGCTATGGATTTTATTATTCAATTAAAAACATTTATTTCATAAAATAAAATCCGTTTAGTTAGTGTCA